AAACGAAAAAACGCATAAAACACATTAAAATTGCAAGTGGAAAGGTTTTGCCTTGTTTTCGTTTACTTTTCGTTGCAGTTTTCTACTTGTTGTATCTCATTTTTTATTTCTCAACTGCCACATTCTATTTATTTTCCCTGTGCATTTCCGTGCCTTTCAAGGAGAATAATGGTAAACTTTGTGTATCCTGATGCTTGCAGCTTCCTTGCAAGTACTGCAAATGGATACAGTAAGTTAAATCCTCAAGTTATAAAAATGCATATTTGTCTCTTGAGCCAACACATTCGACGAAGTAAAATATTCAATCTGCCGCAAAATCATAGAATGGCATAAAATTAAAGTGCAGCTTTAATTTCAAGTATCGCATAAACCCTGGCGCCATGATATTCATTGTTTATGCTGCTTTTTCCTTTATTTTTTTCTCCCTGCATCGAATTCGGTTGACCAGCAAGCGACTAAATCCGAAACTAAATTTATAGTTTCAGTTTTATGAAGTTATTTTGTTTGCTTTGTAGAGAACTGAGTGCCACAGGAAAAAATGGGTACACAGTATGTTGCAAAACAAAAAAATTGGCATTGGCTATGCCCTTTTTTGTGTTCATAACGCTGCATCGAATGGATGTTACAAGCAATGAAATTATAGAATTATTAAATGATTTAAAATGTATTAAATGGCTTCATGAGAAAGGCAATTGGAATCAAAACACACAACTCGCAAGCCAAAAATTGACTCCCACAAATGATTTCTATGCTAACTAAAAAGAAAATCATTTGTCGAAATTGTATTAAAGTATTGATTAAATAGATGTTAGTATTAAGCCTGACTGATTGAAGGACCGATATCAGCAGCAGTTTCATTGGACTCTACGATAGTTGAGATTATTTAGCGCTCTCTTGGCATAAAGCACGCCTTCTTTAAGTTTGGTGCGGGCGACAAACAGAGGCACTCCTACTTCAGCAAGGTGTTCCGGTAATTTGTCTATGGCGTGAATCAGAATCAGGGCAAGGAATTGGAGGTGAATATGATTGGGATGGACTTGATGGACAATCTTTATAGACGGTGGCTCTTTCGCTTAGTGGACTTCTCCTGCAGCGAGATTCACTTCAACTTTGACAATTGCCCATTCCGTTAATTAAACAAATAAATCTTTTCAGTGATCACTAAATATTCTCAAAAATGTATAAATCTGCAATAAATTGTCTGACCTGACTGACTGACGAACTGGGTGAGCACTTAAAAGCAGGAGAACACTTCGTACTTGGTTTGGACATTTCTTTCAAACAAGGCGTGTCACTCCATATACTTGTACGATGCTGTTGTTGTTTCATATCGCTACTAGTCTGAGTAAATTTAAATCTATTATGTTTTATTTGATTTAATAATAGTTAATAATTACTGTTTCTACAACATTCACCGAATGTCCATTTTAATGCTAAGCCATTTTATCTGCTAATAATATTATATGTCTATTCGGAAGAGTTATGAATGAAGGCTTTAAACAAAGTTTAATTGGACTATCTTATAGTAAGTCTAAGAAATAGTTAGTGGGCTTGTCATATGATATTTCGTTTAAAAAGCTAATGTATACCAAAGTTATTTCTAATAGGCCAAGAGAATCCCCCCGAGCTAAAACGACAAACGATCAATTGGTATGAACTGAGCATTGCATAGATCTCAATTTAAACTAAGTAAGTACTCGTATATAGTGGGTCTAATTATATACATATTTTGATACTAAACTAGCAACCTTTATATTTTCATTGAAGCAATTATTGCCACTACAAGTAAATATTTGTTTGGCATCCACTATAAATCGGCTTTACACATTTTTAAAGCCTAGTCAAGATAATCAGTGTAGCCAACCGCAGTATGTAATTCCCTTTTAGTTCATTGGCCAGAAGACAAAATATCTGCCTGTCAACTCGACAGTCTGAATTAACAAAATTGTCGTAAAAGGTGTGTTTACGGTCAACAAAGCTTTCATGATTACATTTAAATTACTCATCAGGTTAAGCGCGGCCTGGGAATCTCTTAACTGTAGATAATGAAGTTATATTTCTGATTGTATTCCAGTATACTATAACAGTATTTCTTAGTGTTTCTTAGTCTTCGCAAATGAACTACGTTTGCAACATTTTCAAAATATATTTTCTTGTTCTTTGTTTATTGTGTCTACTCAGCTTTAATATTTGTATGTATGTACATATGTATATGGGCAGATCCTTTGCTTAAATAATGGAGACTACTTCCGGAAATTTGCTTGTGGCAGGTCAGTAATGCACTTTAATATTAAAAACGTAAATTACTCGTATATTTTGTGTGACTCAACAAAAACCTTCCCTTGGCGCAAATGTTGAAAGCAGATCAGTAACCACCGCCACTGCCACCACCAGCACCACCACTACCACACCCAGTGGATCATTTGTAAGTATGCCGTCATCTGTGTGATGGGCAGGGAATGAGAAAGCAATTTGTGGCACGCAGCAGCGACGCTGAGAGATGCACCTGCACGAAATGCGAGTGAGCCATGAAAGCAAATGAAAATTTAAATAAAAGCGATGACGACAGAGAGGGAAGGAGAAAGAGGCAAAGAGAAAAGAAAAGAGATACGGCGACCGGTAGTGCTCTGCGCGACACCGGAAGTGCAATTGTCGCATGCGACTGCACGCCCACAAAAATAACAAAATGACAAACAACCCCCGCATCTCTGGCAACAACAATGCTGGAGCTAACGGCCAGCTTTTGAAATATATCCACTCTATATGCATATACTATAGTATATATAATTGTATATAGTATTGGCGTGTGTGGGCTGATTGCTTCATGACGGCGCACTAATGAAAATTTCCAACACATTAAATAAAAATCAATTTAGGCAAAAGTCAATGCCACTTTATCGCAGCGGAGTGCGCGACATAAATCCAAATAGAATAACGTTTGTAGTTTTGTTGTTGTGCTTAGGCGTGTTCATTACTTGTAGCTGTTGTTGTTGTTGTTGCTTTTGTTGCCGATGGCTTGTGCCAAACGCATCTCTGACATGTGGCAGTGAAATGGGTTTGCCAACGAGTCAGTCGGGAACGGTGGATTGCAGCGCTCGAGCGGCAGCTGTCAGTGTTATGTTGCATGTTCAGATACATATGTACATACTTTGGGTTGCATGTGCCCGATAATTTTGTAAATGGTCGCTGACTGGGCCTATCATACACACACACACACACACACATTTACGAGTATGTAGTTGTGTGCATACACATGTTCCGAGTTTTCCAAACGGCAATTTATGCTCTCGGTGGTTGGTAGGTAAATGTTATTAAACAGCTGGTTTTGCTTCTTTCGGGCAGGTTTATTTTTTTTTCTTTTCAATATTTGCTGCTGCAGTGGCTGCACAAACACACACACACACACACACAAACACACATGCAAAATTTTACCTCTGACTGTGGAATTCGTGAGCTGCGCAAATGAAAACAAGAAAAACCGGCATGGAAAGCCAGCAAAAAGACGCATTAACAATTCACACATTTGCAGCAACATAATTTTGACTTAGCGATAGAAAGATATGCCCAAGGCAAAGTGGGGTGCATGGGGACTTGAATTGCGGTTCCAAATGCCAGCGGTTTCCTAACACACACACGTGTGTGTGTTTTTTTGTGTCTAGTCTATGTGTGTGTACCGACAATTGGGAAATATTTGGCGGCACACTACTTGGCAGCATGCGATAAAGTTGAGGTTTTTGTTGAAAATTGGCAAACAGCCACAGACAACTACGAATCACACATGCGGAAAGCCAAACACCATGCCTTAAGTCCAATTAACTGGCGACACACTAATCACCAATTTTAACTATGAAAATTCTCATATAATTGGCTTAAACACTTCAAAATATGGTCAAACTTCAGAGTAATCATAAGTTCCTATCCAACCATGAAATTAAAAAAAGAAAAAACAATAAAAAATGCATCTCAATATTTATAAAATTAAATGAGCTGCAAAGATTTTCAGCGGCAATTTGAAATATTTGGGGAATATTTATAAACCAACCCGTCAAAAAGTTCTGAGTGACTTGTTTAGTTTATTCATTTTGTTTTTAGGTATTGGACATAGCTTTAAATATACAATATATTATAACTGTAACTCTAAATATAATAAACTTGGCTATTAAGGCTTAATACACGAATCGCTTAATACGTTTTTGTTGCTTTCTATACTGAGGACACTTAACGCATGACCAGTAATCAAGCACAAGACGTACTAGAAAGGTGTTCAGAAGTTCATATGCATAACGATCATTAAATGCCTTGGACTAGTGTTCCTTTCTAAATCTAAATATGCAATCAAAAATCGTCCTGCCTACAATGAATACGACCTTTGTATGATATGATGTGAATGTTAGAGGGAAGGTCGATTGCAATTAAAGTAAATACTAAAGGAACAAAATGACCTTACATAAACGAGCTTAGAAATATGCGATCTCAGTTAAAACTGAGAGATCTCTCTTCTGTAAATTATTTAATCCATCTGTACATTTGTGATTGTCTTCTAATCAATAGCAATATCGCTTCAAACGAATGATCAGTTAAATTATTTAAATGCAAACATTTTATATAAGTACTTATATGAATGTCTGATAATGGAAAATAAAGTATAATAATTTTAGTGGATTTTCTTTTGAATTCAATATTTTTAAATTTTTATTTTTAATTTTGATACTTCAGAGAATAAAAATCACAATGCTTTATATAATTGATAATATTATAAAATATATAAAGACTTTTCCTAAGAATTCAACTTAAAAGTTCATGGCTCTGTAACAAATATTTGCCATTGAATGTAACTTTGAAACTAATATACATAGATCTGATCTAGAACTTTTTCACTGAAATTCGTAGTGGGTTCTTTCAATCAATCAAGATTAACAAGAAGTACGAGTATTTGAAGTAGGCTTTGTACCAACAGCCATAACTGTCACTGTTTGTTGACCGACCTTTTAGCATAGTCAAGCCCGGAAAAGATTCCAAACAGCACAAAAAATATTTATCTCGAAAATTCTAACACAAAATTTCAGTAAGTATTCCCAAATAGCGCCCTATGGTTACCACCTAGTAACTGAGTTCCATTTACCCGACAGTCAGTGAAATGTCCGAATTGCAAGCATCGCTGCTTCTGAAACGGCAATTGGCCGAGTTGCAACGCAATCCTGTTGAGGGGTTCTCTGCTGGGCTCGTCAACGATGTCGACTTGTTCAAATGGGAAGTAGTCATCATTGGTCCGCCGGACACACTGTACGAAGGCGGTTGTTTCAAGGCTCATCTAGTATTTCCCAAGGAGTATCCGTTGCGTCCACCACGCATGAAGTTCGTCACCGAAATCTGGCATCCGAACATTGACAAATCGGGCGATGTATGCATCTCTATATTGCACGAGCCCGGCGATGACAAATGGGGCTATGAAAAGGCCGAGGAGCGTTGGCTTCCAGTGCACACAGTGGAGACCATTCTACTCTCTGTCATCTCCATGCTCACCGATCCCAATGATGAGTCAGCTGCCAATGTAGACGCTGCCAAGGAGTGGCGCGAGGACCATGCCGAATTCAAGCGGAAGGTGGCACGCTGTGTGCGGCGCAGCCAAGAGGAGGTTTAGCCAATGATGCATCACGCAGCATCGAAAGACTGAAACATCCAACCCAGACAAACTGAAAAAGCCAAACCACCATCTAACACACAATCTTGTAGCGGTCAACTTACAAAACTTCAAAGCATTAAAACGGACACGGAAGAGACATCTCCCTCTATCCGCATGAAATTTTGCAGATTAATAATGCCAGGTCTCGTCATTCGCTAATCTATGTGCTATTAGCCAGCAATTTTAGAAATCTTGGCCTGCAGCTGCAGCGAAAGTGTCAAAGGCTTTGCCACTAATTGACAGTGGAAATTATGGTCCAGCTGCAGTTGGCACAGTTTTTAATTGGACCGCTCCTCTCTAATTAGCCGCATGCACTACTCACTCACTCACTCGCTCGCTTGCACACTTCACTCTCCAAGACCAAACGTTGCCGCCATCCCCGGGGCAGGAATCAGTGCTAAGACGTCGTGTCAGTTGATTAGCCAGAATTTCTTTATCTGCGCGCCATTTCTACGCACTCGTCCCCCTCCCCGTACTCCCTGTTGGCCCCAACATGTCAACAATAATTAGTGTTAATCGTCTTGAGCGTCTTCGTCATAGCTCGCAATTCACTCGAGGCGTTGCCTTCTCGCACTTGGCCGCATCTTGACCGCTCACTTGGCCCACTCGGACTCGATCCGTCTGCTGGTCAGTTAAGTCGCATGCTTAATAGGCTTAGTCTTACACACTGACACAGTTATGCTCAGCATTTGCATGCTGGCCCGCTTCCATACTACGGCTTACCAACATTTTGCTTTGGGCCTAAAAGTTGCTGCTGCGTCTGCATTCGCGCTTCATATTCAAACGTGGTATGTACTGTGTGGTTTATGCGCCCCATAATGGAGTTGTCGGGGGCTAAAAAAAATGCAGGCAAGCTAATGTGACAACAACAGCAACAATAAGCACGCTGCCTGCTGGTACATGATGGTTTAGTCCAGAAAAAATACGATTAAGAAAGGGGAACTCCCCGACTTTGAAAGACCCTCGACCTAGTTTATTAATATTAGGTCGGCTTTGTGGCAAAACTAACGGATGCAATCCAAAACATGCATAGTGGACAGCAACTTAACAAAATTTACAGAAAAAATATAAATGATTAGTTAGTGAAAGGGTTGGCCAGAGAATTTGTTCCAGCTCTCGATTTCTTTCTTCTTTTTTTTTTTTGGTTTTAAGTTACTACGATACCCTTGGGTATTGTGGAATTATTTGGCCGTCCACACCCTCGATTTCTGTTTCATATGTTTCGCCTTTTTTCCACAATCAAGTACAATTTTGCATTTAATACCTTAATTATTATTTAATCTTTTACAATAGGAAATATTTCAAATCAAGAATTTCTATTTAAACGAGTTGAAATCTAATAAACTATTTCATCTTTCATAATAGGAAATATTTCAAATAAAGAATATCTCTAAAGAGTTGAATTCTAATAAAACTATCCTTTATTGGCGCGATAAGTGGTGTGCGGAAGTTAAAAAACAATTATATTATAGTAAGGAATGTAATTAAAATGTAAATGCATAAATTTCTACCAACCAGTACATTCATTATTTTGAAAAGTGAATGAATAAGCATTCTTGAATCAGGTGCCCTTCTAAGTCTTTTGATATTCTTAACTACAATTTTTAATGAATGACTTTTAATTTGTTTATGTTAAAAGCTATATTAAAAGGTTTCCAACGCTTAAAGTTAGAAAGCTGCTTTGCTTTCCAATAATTTTAGACCTAAGCAAAAAATGTAAATCTATCAAGTTTTATTTTGTAAAACGTTGTTTAAAACGTTTGTTACATAAATTAATTTTAAAGTTTATAAGTTTTTCCCTCAAGACTTACTTTTGGAACTTGTAAAACCGTAACCCTAATGGGTATATGAAAGGAAGGGTATTTTTAATGCCAAGTAAAATGTCACCACTTTTAAAGCTTTATCTTAATCTTAATGTTCGTAGTACATGACATTTGCCAAAAATGCCGTTATGTTGATCAAAGATTGTATTTTTGCAAAATTGTATATTCTGCTACTATCTGTGGCATAAACTGTTAACAAACTTGTATGCCCTTTTACCCCGCTGGTTAGGGTACAGCCCATATAAAAAATATTGAAATTGCTCAAAGCATTTTTTTTTGTGGTTAGCTGGAGTTGCCGCAGTCTTTGTTGTTGTTGTTGTTGCTGTTATTGTTGTCGCTGGCTTTAACCATGTTTATTAGCAACAAGTTCTGCATTTTTATTTTTTTTTTTTTTTTTTTTTTTTTTTTTTTTTTTTTTTTTGGTTGTGTGGCAAGCGGAGCGCAGCCTTTTGGTGGTGTTCTTCCAAAGTCAAATTGCTGCACGCCCGAAAGTTGCGAGTTTTGTTTTGCTACGCGGTTGTTATTGCTGTTGTTATTATTGTAGTGGTTGTTGTTGTTGTTGTTGTCAACTTAAATGTGACTCAAATACTGAACATTTACGGGCCTTGGGCTTTATATAACAGATCAGCGCATACTTTTATTTTATGGGTGTGGAAAAATGTTGGAGCTGCCGAATCGCCTGGCAATAAGATTTCAAGCAGCGCTTTATGATTCAGCGCTTTGGTCAACGGCCGGCGCAATCAATTTAGCGTCTTAGCCATGGCTAAATACACACACACACACACACACACACATGCACACAAAAGCCAAGAAACACAAATGAGCACAAATCAGTGGGCAATTTCGAAACTGGGTAAATAAGGCCATGCACCTTCAGACTGGCCGGCATACCAGCCAGCATGTGGAGACGTTGTTGTTGTTGTTAAGCAAAAACAACAAAAAATAATAACAACGCTGAAAATCAGCAACTAGAGAGGTGAGGCAGAAATACTCGTAGAAGCATCACCAACAGCAGCAAAAAAAAAACGAAAACGAACGAACTACAAAATAAAAGAAAAGAAAACACCGCAAACCTGAAATCGAATCGAACCCAACTGAACTGAAGACGCGCGCTTCGTTCTACGACGGCGGGCGAAACTCACTCAGCCAGTAGAAATTGAATTGATGTTGTTGTTTGTGTTTGTGCTTGTGTTGGCCAGGCAGACAGGCAGCCAGCAGACAACAAAAACCGGCTCTGGCTTGGCTTCGTCTCTCTGGCCTGGCCCCAAGATTTCTTTCTTTTGAGATCCGAGACTGGGTGTGGGGCTCTGACGGACAGGCCCAAGCGCAAGCCCAGGCCCAGGCTCTGGCCACAGAGAATGCGCTGCTGTTTTAAAAATAGCCAACTGCCTGTAACTGAACTGCAGGCGGCTAGGGTGAAATCTTCCATAAAAGTGACCGCGATGCGTGGCATTAGATGCAGGTAGCAAAGCACAAGGGTCACAGGTCAGCCTCATTATAGAGACGAGGGTGGAAAAACGCTTGCTGGGGAACGAACAAGTGCGATTTGTCGATTTGATCGACAAGCACCGATCGGCTTGCTGAGCGCAGCGCATTTCTTGGAAATCCTGACTTAAAGGTGCCGGAAAGCGCATGTTTTGAAATACACACACAAACATATGTGTATATACATACATACATGCATAGGTACATACAGATATGTGTATATTTATATATTTGCTGATGTTGTTTTTATTATACTTGACTTGGGACTTACCTATGAGATATGTGTTGAGAATGCGGCGAACGAAATACAGAAATCCAATAGACAACTCGTACTCGAGTCTGTTTGTTTTTTGTATGTACGTCCGTGTGTGTGTGCGTATATGTGTCTGTTGGGTGTGTTAGTATGTGTCGGTGCGTTTCATACGTGTTAAGTAAATTCCAATATGCGCTAGCTGGCAGGCTGGCTGGCTGCGTTATACGAGAGAGTATCTTACAGATACCTTGGCCAGATACTGGTTTTGATTTCGTAAAGTTGTATAGTTACGTTCGTTATGTTGCAGCCTCGTCGGGGAAGGAGGGTGGCGGCGACGGACGTATACAAAGGCTTACATATATGTAAGCGAGAACGAGCCGACTGACTGCTGCCGTTCAAGAAAACCACGAGCGGCAACAAAAATGTTGCACCGTGCGGTTTTATAGCTCCTGCTGGCTTTGGTCGTTGCTCCTCGTCCTCCTTCTCCTCCTCCTTGCGATGAGTAATCCAAAATTGTTGTTCAACTAATTAAACAATTGCTTTGTGAGCGGCGCGTTCTACAACTATCGTTATATCAATACTCGGATATCTTTTTTCACAGAAAAAATCACTTAGTTGTTGTTTTTGCTGCTGCTAGTCTTCAGTACAATAGCTTGTACTTGTTAACAGCCTTTACACGCTTCAAGATTTTGTCAGACCATAAAACTCAGCGCACGTGAAAAATGGGAAAAAAATAAAAATTTATCAAAAACTACCTGACGCGCCGCGCGTCATAAAACAAAACGCAAACACTCTGCCGTATATTGTTGTTGCTGCTGCTTCTACCGCTGCTTGTGTATATTTTTATAAAGCGACGCGGTTCGTTTCGTTTTCTACTTTCAACGCTACGCGCACACGCTCGCTCTCTGCACACGTCCACCTGCGAAGCCGTCTCAAAGTAAACTAAAACCAAACTATGTACATTTTCAAAACTTGTTTTCAAGCGCGCGCTGTCAACATCATGGCCAGGCCAGGCCAGACCCTCCAGCCAGTCTCAGCAACATTTACAAGTCGCTGTCGCTGTCGCTGCTGGTGTAAGATAAATGCACACGCATACATATGCAGTTCGGCTAACAGATGTTGCTGCTGTAAAGCACTGGCAACATTTTAACAACGACTGCAGCAACATGTTCATGCTTAGCAACATTGTTGCTACAGCTGCAACCACGGGTTTTGTTGTTGCCGGCTTTTTCATACAATTCGCCGTTGTTACTGCTGGTCGTTGGCTTTGCCCACACTCCCCCATTTTTTGGCCCATTACGAGCAGAGGGTAGTTGCTTTTGATATCAACCACTACGACGCGCTACGTATTTACATTTCTACAATGCCTGCTGCCACTGCTGCCACTGCTGCTGCTGTGCTTATTTATTTAAACCACCCACACAGCCACGCCACGCAGTTAGACATTTGTTGTCTGCATTTAACGCTAGTCGCTGCCGCTGGTTGCTGTTGCTGTTTCTGTTCCTAAATATTTGATCAAGCTGTCAGACAGACATACAGTTGGAACTGATGCTACTTTACTGCTATGTATGCACTGCTGGTGTTGCTGGCTGGCTGTTCTGTTTTTCATTTGGCAAATGCAAAATGGCTGCTCATCTACTTTCTGTTATTTGTCTAAAACTGTCAGTTAGATTTGCTTTGCCTTTATCAGTCGTCATTTGCACTTGAAAAATTGTCTTGCCCCGGGCTTTGTTTATTTACACTGACTATACATACTACATATGCAGTCCCAACTCGATAAATCAAACGCGAACTCGCTATATATGTCTATAGGCAATCGATTCTAAGATGTTTACATCTTCACATTAAACATTAAATTATAAACTGCATTAGGCCTGTTTTATTATTTTTTTATTTTTAATTTATTCAATTATTCATCGACAAGCAAAGCTGTAGATAAAGAAAAATTACAATGGATAACTTAAAAAATACAATTAAAAGTACAAAGAAGTATATTAAATTATAATAATATCCAATAACAAAACCGAATCGACAGGAGAATTTTATTTTGCCAACGTCTGAATAAATGTTTCTCAATATTTTACCAAAGAAGATTTCAATTTCTGGTTCTGTTTATAGTCTCATCTAATGTAGTGTTTAACCCTCTAATGCCAGTCGATAGCTTTCGATATATCCATTTAATTTGAATATCTATGTTCCGAACCAGAAAACGGTGCCGAAATAAAAAATCTGAAATACTTGTATTACTCGCATCGAATCAATTACATCGATTATATGCGTTGACATCGAAATATACAATACCGATGAATCTCATAGTCTCATAGTCTGAAGTCTCATATCTTCCTAGATCCTTGCGTTCATACAAACATATGAGCAAGCGGACAGGCGAACATTTCTATATTGACCCGTCTTGATCAAGTATATATGTATGTATATAGTACTTATATACATTGGGATAGTGTTACCCTTCGGGTATGGCGCTAAGAAGTGTGAGCTTTGAATTGTTTTGCTACAATTTATATATTTTTTATTAATATTTGAATTATAATTCGAAATGTTTCTAGTAGAAAACAATGATCTATTTTAGCGACGACCTACTGTATATAATGATGTACACTTGTTTACCTTACAGCAGACGTCTATCTCTGATAAAGACAGCATCTTATCGTAACCCAGTCAGTGGTGTGGGCGTTGCTTGATAACAAACGCCACTGCGCCCCTTCTTTGTCGGATATATGCATGAGGGACATACATATGGATGTACATGTAGCATGTAAGTGGCCATGTCTGTATGGCAGTTGCATTTCCATTTGCATCTGCAACAATTGACAACAATTGACAGCTGCAACGCCTTTGAAAACACACACTCAGCGAGCGAATTTACATATTTACATATGTATGTACTTGTATGTAGAGAGTAGCCAGAGAGTACGTAACATTTGACTGCACTACGACAAGCTCACTTTGATGCCATCAATGCGGCAGTAACGCCACTTCCTCCGCCTCCTTCACAGCGATAACAACTACAACTACAACACATGAGGCTCAAAACAGCAGCAACATAAGTTGGCAACTTTTGCGTCTGGCTTTTGTTTGTTCTGCTGCAGTTGTTGTTGTTGTCGTGTAAAATTTGCATAAAGCTGAGTTTTTCCAAGAGCGTGCCAAATTTATTTAAAAGTGCCTTTGTGTGCGTCTGCAGTTCGCTCAAAATTATAGTCTGCCACATGTTCTGGCCTCAAAGGCCGGTCCGGTCCGACTCCTCAACTATTCACAGGCGCCAAGTTTGTCACTGCCACTGACCTGCCCCATCCACCCAGCGACATCCGTACCACCGAGCCACCGCCATGAAAGTCATTAAAAATGTTTAAATCGGCTCACCTTTGTGAACAGCCGGTGACCCAAAACGCTACTGCATATTCATGCAGCCGACTACACCTCATTTCATTTGCACTTTCGGGCAAAAGTTTCCAAAGGACACTAAAGATGTCCTTCGTGTCTGTGCCGTTTACGGCCCCGACTCATTATTTGCGGGCCACAGCGAAACTAACATCGCGTAATTACATTTCACAGTGCCAGGCTGAATATATTTTAGTGGCCGTTGTTCAGACGCATAAACACCTAAAAGTAGGCACTTGTTTGGATAAACAGGAAGTCGTGGCAAGCGGAAACAAGACCTAAATAACCAGAGAGCGACTTGAGATACACAAACAGATTTCACTCCAATTGGATGTAATAATAACGCCAATGTGTTTAACACTCTGCACTGAAAGTTATTAGAGTGATCTTAAACAGATTCCCATAAAATGAGCTGAAAAGCACTGCAAATATTTTATGTTTGCTGAAACGTTTTAGCCATTCAGCTTATTCAATAAATTTCGGATCTTGTAACATCAACAGATCACAAGTTCACTCTTATCCATGAACTATTTATTTGGAATTTTTATACAATCCCTCCATCTATTAACTAAGTATTCTACCACTTTAACGATTTCAGCAATGTTAAAAATAAGTTTGTGCAAAGTATTTAACTGGGAGAAGGAAACCTCTCCGACCCTATCAGCATGACAAGAGAAATCAATCTAGACATTTCTAGAACTACAATAACCAAACGTTGTGTCCAGATTGGCAAAAGTCCGTAATTGGACAAGCTTTTGGGTTTTTTGATAAATGTTTTTTTAGGAATGGTTACAGGTTATTTAAGATCAACTCTCACTCAACTCTAGCATTCCATTCTTGTTTTTTATTCAAAGTTATATTTTCAAGTAACATCAAGTAAAACTCATCATTTGCAATTGTTTAAAAGGGCTTTGAATTTTTATTTGTTTATTTATAAAATAACTCTTATTGATTTGACAAGTAATTTCTCCACCTGACTCTTCCTTGTATTTTATTTGATGAATTTGACACAATTCTCTACATTTATACACAAATTTATAGTTACATTTTACACTTCTACAATTAAAAACCACATTTTTGAAATCGCTTAAAATAAGTCTTACAATTTGTTTTAAAACGCGCTGGTAGCACTGCTTTGGTGTATTTACTGAAGCCCTGGAAAGTCGTTCCCTTCACGTAAACGAAAATTTAAATCGCAGCTCAAGGAAGCCAAACATGAGCAAGAAGTTTCCAAATCGCATCCTTATGGTGTGCATGGGTAAGCTAAAACGACATCTATCCTGCACCCTGGGACTGTATATAAAAACTCTGCTGGCAGGTAACATTTGTCGTTCACCCATTGCCGAGGCCGTAATGCGCGCTACTATCGAGAAAGCGGATCTCAGCCACGAATGGTATGTGGACAGTGCGGGCATCGAAGGCTGGCACTCAGGATGCGAGGCGGATCCCCGGACACTCAACGTGCTGGCCAATCACAACATCAAGTACAACAATCGCGCGCGCGTGCTGTTGCTACAAGATTTCGAGCAATACGACTACATATTTGGCATGGATCAGAGCAACATGGCATCCTTGAAGCGCATGGCACCCCAAGATTGTAAAGCCAAGCTACTATTGCTAGGCGATTTTGGCCTGAAGCCGGACGATCGCATCATTGAAGATCCATACTATGTGGGTGTTGTTGACATTTCTCTTTTAATTAAGTTTTTTGATTTAAATCTTCATGCAGTACGTTGGTGAAGCGCCCTTCGAGAAGATATACGAACAGTGTATCATAGCTTGCCCAAATTTTTTGAAGCAAGCGCGCTCAAGTCAAATTAGACTGTAAAGGATGGCAGACGTATCACACAAGGGTTAAAGCCGAACAGCTGTTTGCAGAGCGAGGGCTGCCGCACGCGGAACCGGTTCAACACTGCGCGAACACATGTTTATCGCTGTATCTGTTTAAATTGTTTGGTTGGAAGCGTGTGAAAATGGTGCAAAAAATTCTAATGATATGTTTGGGTAAAGATATGAAAAGTATATTCGGCATTCTTGGGTCTCAACTCACCTTCCTCCTGCAGGCAACATCTGTCGCTCGCCCATAGCCGAGGTGGTGATGGTGGACACACTGCAGAAGGCGAAAGTTCAGAACGTTGTTGTCGACAGCGCGGCCATAGGATCTTGGCATGTGGGCAATCGAGCCGATCCGCGTGCCCTCAGCACACTGAAGCAGCATGGCCTGGAGAGCAAGCATATTGTGCGACAGATAACGAAGAAGGATTTCAACGATTTCGATTATATATTTGGCATGGACGAGAACAACATGAGCGAGTTGCGGCGTCTCGCACCGCCAAATTCCAAGGCAGAGCTATTGATGCTCGGCGATTTCGGCTTGGAGAAATCCAATCGAATTATCGAGGATCCGTATTATGTGAGTAAACAGTGATTGACCAGAGGTGCTCAATTGCCTTTAACATTCATTTGCCCTTGCAGCAAAGCGGCGCCGCCGGCTTCGAAACTGCCTACCAACAATGCGTGGTGGCCTGCGAGGCGTTTATGAAAGAGCGTCTGCAAAAATAATTTAATTGTAATTTAGAAGCTAATTAAATTGTGTGAGTTTACCTACCAGTGGGGTTTACCTAGTGATACTATCTGCTTAATAAATGATTTCGTGTACTGTAAGAACTGGTTTGTCATGAGCGATGAATCATTTTTATTTTGCACTCAACGCCGGTATTTAGTTTACGTTTATCACGCAACTAGACAAGATGAATGTTCTTTTCGTGTGCTTGGGTAAATAATTCAATTTTAAAGGATTCTGGGTGCCTATATTCATATTTATTTTGATATATCAGGCAACACCTGCCGCTCGCCCATAGCCGAGGCTATCTTGTTGAATTTGATTCGCATACATCAACTAACGGATTGGCACACGGATAGCGCGGCCCTGCGGGATTGGAATGATGGTTTGGAGCCACAACCGCGCACCTTGCAAGTGCTCCGACAACATGGCCTAAGCACGAAACATTTGAGTCGAATGGTAATAAGAAGTTTAACGTAAAGGCCAATTCTTAGTGCAAGGAAATAGAGACAATAAGGCAGTTGTTCCACAAACTGTTAAAAGCTAACCCAAAACTTTTGTTGCCGCCTGCTTATTACAAAAGAGTGAAGGTTCCATTCGTGGCCAAAATTCAAAGTGTTATCTCTCAATTTCTTATGAAATAGTAATTTTTGTTTTTGTATTTTTTGACAGCAGTCCTCTTCGATTTTTACAATACCAATGATATTTGTAGTTTATAAAGTCGACTTTCAAGCACCACAAAAGCCCAAGTATCTAGTGGCTCTTGATAAACGCCTTTTGTAGAACAAAAGCCTTCTCAATACAACACAAAAAAATAGTTCACATTGAATTATTTTGTAGCTTTACTTCCCCACAAAGTACTAGTCCTGATCAAACATTTTACAGATAACAGCACAAGATTTCTACGACAACGACTTTATTTTTGGCATGGACGAAAGCAATATGGCAGAACTGCAACAAATGGCGAACAGCCTGAATCCCAAACCCAAGTGTCAGCTAGTACTGCTGGGCAGTTATCTGGGACGCAAGGAAGATGAAATAATTCGAGATCCATATTTTGTAACCAAAGCACTCAATTTAATAAGGCATTTTAATTGAACATTTTCATTTTACAGAGCAAAGGAATGGGTGGATTTCACGCGGCGTACCTGCAAATCAAGGAAAGCTGTGAAAATTTTGTACAGCAGCATAAACAACACAAGAAGGAGCTATAAGTTCTTGAACCAGTAATTTTTATTTATAAATGTATCAAGCTTTATAACTGTTTTATTATCTTTATAATGTACATTGCACTTGTATATTTCTCGACGTCCATATTATATTTTATACGTGCAATTGTGCAGCGTAAATTGGTCGGACTGGCAAATAATTTACCCGCAGTTTTCTTATATTTCAAATAAAACTGAAAGTAATACTCAATAAAACCACAATATTTGGGCCTGCCTTAACATAGCGTCAGCAACCTTTATTTCAATGCAACAAAGAACCGACCCTTTTAATAAACGTATCCCATTCTCGCTTCAATATTTTAAAAGCAGTTCTTCTCTGCATTTTCGATAGCTCGGAATATTCTATAGAGTTCCATACCAGTTTTTTTAAAGTTCCCAAACTCGCATATTCGGGCGCAATGCCCATTAAGGCAAAGTAGAAATCGTAGCTGACTCCCTTAGCTTCCCAACGTCCGGGATTATCGTTGCCTATTACTAAGGGCGCACCACGGGCAAACCACTCAGCAGCCGGATGCGTACGCATATCTCCCACTAATCCAAAAATTTGATTAGATAGCGGGCATATTTCGATGGGTATTTTTTTGGACATGATTTTATCCAAGAGAAGTGGGTGTCTGGAAATAGAGTAGCCATGGCCTATTCTTTTGGCCCTTAACAGCAAAGCGTCCATAACATTGTTATCAATGGGACTCAAATGAGTATCTGAAAAAGGATCGAAAACTACTTAGCAAAAGATCTTTCATTAAGATATATTTAAATCTTACTTGTCTCGCCGGCGTGAAGAAAGAGACTCAAATCACTTGCTTTTAAAAGTATCTGGCTAAGTTCGTATAACGATTTACTCTCGTCCTCATAGCCTATTAGGTCAAAACCAATGAATATGTCAGGGTATATTTTGCTGTTTCAATACAAAAACAAAAATCTCAGATGGAGCGGTAAAATCTATAAATTTCTTTCTTACCGAAACTCTCTGTGTTGCTTTATCCTTTCCTTGATATGTTGTGTGGTCTCTTCCTTGGAGGCAGTTGAAATTATTTTGATGCCAAGGAAACCGGGGTGCTTAGCTTTGAATTCTTTGACTATTTTAAGAAATAGCCGTAGTGCCACCTTTGCAGGATAGGTGGCATTACGTGGTCCGTATAGCGGGAGAAAGTTCATCCGCACCTCGGCATACATGATGCGATCTTCGAACATTTCGATCAACATTTGGTTGAAATATTGTTTAAAAACGGGCTTATATGATAGGACATCGCGAAAGATCACAAACATCTTGTCGAATTGGTCAAAAATTTCGGCATAACTCTTGTAGACCTCTAAGAAAGACAGGGGTCATTAAATCAGTCGAGCCAGAAACTCAGTTCAAGCTCGACTTACTTTCGGAATGAGGTGTATGGTTCCTATGGTAGGCAGTCCTCAAAAAATAATGCTTTAGTCTTCTTCCGGCACGTCGGTCATAAAACCCTATAAATTTCTTCTTCTGTAGTTCATGATTCTTCACATCCTCATACTTGGAGACACAACCGTGCAGTTTGGGGGCCCTTCGCAAGCTGAGGACAGTGACATTGTTTTTGTTCACACACTGGATCATTCCCTTAATTGTTAATATATTTCGTCGCACCCAAAATGCAGACACAGATGTCGTAGCATGTACATGCAGCAAAGCCCCCTTTGGCATCTGCTGGATGAACCTGAATACCCAACTTTCTTGGATCCGTGACTTCGCCGAGAAGAAATTTATTGCAAGTGGTGATATACTTATATTATTCATGCTTGCAATCAACTCTTGGCGCTTGTGCATCAACAATTTCTCGTCCATCCTCTTCTCCTCTCCTTGGAAGTGCATGTTGCCGCCAATAGACATTCGTCTTTCCTGACGCAATATCTTACCACGTTCTTGCAGGTAGCTGTTCGAACAGTGGCCTGGTATTAGTCCCAGGCAAAGCAGCAGCAACAAGAACATTTCTCTCAAGCAGACCAACTGAAACTACCATTCGGAACTTTTCCACGCCAATTCCCCAGCATGAGAAAAACTAAATTGCAATTTTACACCATCTTCTAATTATTTTATCGTACATTTAACGCTATTTTAGAAGACACTGCCCTGCAGCACCTTATCGATAAAACGCGACCAGCTCTTCTCCAATAGCTCATAGGCGCGACGTCGTTCGCCCTCCTCCAACAACGAATATCGCACCGAGTTCCACACGAGAGTCTTAAGGAGGCGCAATCCTGCGTTGTTCGGCGCCAAACTCATGATGGCATAATAAAAATCATAGCTGAGTCCCTTGGCATTCCAAAAACCGGGATCATCGTTACAAATTACAATGGGCACATTCAAAGCCAGATACTGTGCGCCCGGATGGTTACGCATATCCCAGACCAGATGCAGAACCTGATTGGAAATCGGACTGACCTCCACGGCAATGTCACGCGTCTTCACAGCGTTCATCAAAATCGGATGCTTGGCCAGCGCATAGCCATGTCCAATGCGGGTGGTATTAAGCAGCAAGGCGTCCAGCAGATTGATATCAGTGGACGCTCCAAACCAGTCTGGAATAAGGCAAGCAGATTAGCATTTTTAAAATGTAATCGAAGAACAATATGTAATTTGTAAGTACTGTACATTCATGATGTATGATGTACTATTGTTAATATAAAGCAGTTTCGAGACGAAAGAGTTGAGAATTTTGAGAATTCTGCATAGAAATGTTAAGAGCTTTGAAGCACTTCTATAAATCTAGCCAAACCCCAGTATATATAACAAATTTGTAAAACCTATAGAGCTAAAGATAGCATCTCAAAATTAGGAATCTGTCTAAATCGGAAATCTGCTCGTTCTAAGAAAGAAACACCATAAGTCTTTGTATGTAAAGGCAGTGTAAAATGAGAGCTGGCGTCATAATTATAGCAGTCAACAAAAAGAGTGAACGCTACAGTCGAGCAAGCCCGACAGTGTAATACCCTGTACCCAGGTAAACTTCCGTCACTGAGTTATATGCGCCCATAGCAGTAGCAAAAAGAGGAAGAAGAAGAGCGAACTTGTTGCTGCAGTTTGGGGAGGTTGTACTGGCGAGAATTTGTTTGGCTAATAACTTTTCTTAGAATTGACCGAATTGAATAAAATTTTGAACAACAGTAGACAGTTATATATAAATGATGTGTGCAAAGTTTGATTTGGGTAGCATTTGAAATGTGGACGCAATTGACGAAATTCTGTAGCGGGGGAAGGGGGGGAAAATTAAAAAAAAAAAATAAACTCGTCCTTTCTCGGACTTAGGAGAATCTGGATGCCAACTTTGGTTATTCTAGCTTTTATAGTTTCTGAGATCCTTGCGTTCATCCAGACGGACAGACAGACGGACATGTCTAGATCGATTTCTCTCGTCATGCTGATTCAGAATATATATACTTTATGGGGTCGGAGATGCTTCCTTCTTCATGTTACATACTTTGCACAAACCTAATATACCCTTTTTACCCTACGGGTACAGGGTATAATAAAAAAGGACACTCTTGATTAAAAACTTTGATATATCTGCGGGGAGGACATTCGTATCTTTTAAGTCCTTCAAATTAGTTAAAAACTATAGCAAAACAGAATCTGATTTAAAAAAGCACACACTTGATTAAAAACTTTGATATATCTGAGGGGAGGTCAGTCGTATCTTTTAAGTTCTTCAAATATAGTTACAAACTCTAGCAAAACAGAATCTGATTTAAAGACAAAATGTGCACTTACTTGTCTCGCCGGCATGAAAAAAGAAGCGAGCAGTGGGTGGCAAGTCCTGCAGAGCTGGCAGGAAACTATACAAGGGCTTACCCTTATCCTCCTGACCCACCAAATCAAAGCCCACAACAAAGTTGGGAAACTGTTGACTGCGAAGCGAAAAAGCAATCATTGAAAAATTGACACACGTACTCCTCCACAAGGATGTGACACTCACTGTAATTGCCGAAAATATTGGATACGATTTTGAATTTCCTCCAAGCTTGTGGCACGAAAGACGGCATTAATGATCTTCATGCCCAGAAAATTGGGATGAAGACGCCGAAACTTCTCATCAATGGCAGCCAATTCTCGTACGGTTTGCTCCTTGGGAAATGTGCGGCCACTGGCATCGTACAACTGCTAAAGGCTTGGCTTGAAGATGAAACGGTTGAATGCAGAGCAGCTGAAATACCTCACCTCCTTTAAGCTGGTACGTATCTCCACATACATGACATTGTCGTTGTATAGTTCCTCCAGCAACTGCCAGTGATAGGCGCGAAAAACCGGCAGATAGCAGAGCGCGTCCCCCAAAGTGGTGAACATGTCCTGGAACTTGTTCCATACCGCAGTGATGGTGGGATACTCAACTGGAAGACAACATGAGGCGGTCACAATATCGCTCATCAACCTAAAGAAGCAAAACAGAACTCACACTCCGGCACCGGCGTATAGAGGTTGGTAAGGCGTTCAAAATTCTGATCGTAGAGCGCTGGATCAATGGAATTTCGACGCTCATCACTAACCAGGACATACTGCGACTGGCAGCCGTGCTGCTTTGGCAGTCGCCGAAAAGAGAGAATGCTCAGGCCGGCGGCATTGGTGCAGCGCAAAAGGCCCTGCATATAGGACATGTTCTGGACCACCCATCTGGAGCTGACGGCCGCCGTATTGTGCAGATGCAACAAGGCACCTTTGGGCATTTGTTGCAGGAATCTGAAAACGCTGCTTCGATCGATTAGCTGCTTGGCTTTGAAGAAATGTAGCGCGGCCGCATTTTGTTCGGCATTCCGAAAACCCTGCGACAATTCGCCCAGCTTGTACTGCATAAAGAGGTCGTCGACCTTGGACTCCTGATCGTTGAGAAAGGTGTGACCGCCGGTCATGAGTTCCTCCTCCGCATTAAGGACAGCCTGCCGCGCCTGCTCAAAGCCTGTAAGGGAGAACTGATACTTGGATATCCGTCTAAGTAGCTGCTACTTGAAATCGTACTTAGTCTAGCTTCTGCTGCCGCTTTAGCGGACAGGCTCCAGCAAAAGAGCACAACAAAAGGTATTAGCTGACTCATGATGTGATTCCCTATTGTCCAGTTAATGAGCCGCCTGTGCAAATATTGTCGCTTTCTATTGACTGCCTGACACATTAATTTGTTTGCTTCTTTGCTTTTTTGGCACACACCCACCGAATTGGGGGTAACCTGTAAGTTTCGCTGCCTCTTAGCCGAATAGCGCCCGGTCGCCAGCAATGCTCGTCTAGAACTGTTGTCGACTTGGCCAGCCGATGTGCAAAGAACCGACAATAATTTCATTTCATTGACATCAAATAAGTAACAAAAAAAAACAATAATTTCTTGTATGTTATTGTAACTCAGTCGCCCAATTATATTCTCGAAACTCATTATGAGCCCAGCCAGAGGGTTGGGCTGTGCGCCGACGACACAATGAAATAATGTCGTACTACAGTACCAAGTTTTATTTCGCATTGTTGCTGGTATTATTATTATTATTATTATTGTTATTTTTCGACAATTGCTGTTGCTGCATATTAAGTGATTTGAAATGTTGGCGGCGTGCGCCGTTCCAGAATCATTTTTAGCTAAATTTTCACTGACGTATGCGGACGCGCTTTGCTGACTTCTAATATGCGGCGTCTGACGAATCAGCTCTTGAGTGTCTTTATTTTTTTTTTTTTTGTGTGGTTCTGGAAGTGTTTAACGCAATTACAAGTGCCAAATGCTGATTACAGCGTAATCGCACAAAAACAAGCATGTTTATTATGCTTGTCTTTATTCGAAATGTGCTCAGTCATTTGACAAACATTTTTAGCATTCGGGTTCATGGTTATGTAATGGCACGAGCTCGAAGCCGTGAGCCAATTTACGAATACGCCAGCTCTATATCCATAGTATTTAGAGATGCACTTGTGGTGCAGCAGGCTGTGCTTCAGCACCCAACCCCTTGCAAATAAATACTATACATACACGTATTTTACACATTTCATATTCAATGTCAAGTATCAATTTTTCTGCCCCCAAGCAGATTGGTGTGGTAAACAAAGCTCGACAACAACAAAAAACTGCCGAACATAAACCACGCAGCATTGAGATAACGCAGCATACCATATACTCGACTGAAGAGTGCCCTGCATGGGTTTGTCTCACCCAAAACCACATTAGTTTCTTCCTTCTTTCCTCTAGAAAATGTATCACAATCTGCAATTTTGGAGACGTTACCAAATTGGAATTTCGTTTATTAATCTAAAAAGTTACTTCATAAACACGGATTAAATAATTAAACGGCATTTTGATTGAAATCATAATAATGATGGGATGTTCTTCTCCAGCCATGTTGAGATAGATAGGTAGCTTAGGATCGCAGCATTTCTCATTTCATTTGCTGTGGTTAAGAGTAGTATATTTGCCATCATCTGGAGATACCAGTTGTATCCTGAAAACCGATTTCTTCTGAAAACTCCGCCCCCTGGGAATGTGCTTATAAGTCGAACAAGCTGCCTCCTTTGATAATAGCTGCCACTCCGGAGACTTGTTCAGCAGTGCGGATTTCTTTAAAAGATGATCCAGAAACTTTTTAGATTTCGTACTTCATAGAGAGATTACAATTTCAACCATTCTCGGAGATTTGGCTGTTTCTTAAGAAGTTGTTATTGCTAACCGTTTTTTTTTTTTCTGGGACTTTGACTTTATATTGTTGAGGCTGTTATTGTTTCCAACTACTTTCAAAGTCCAAGGTTTTTTCATATTGGCGGGCTAGATTTTTCATAATTGGACATTCTTAAATTTTTGAAGACACGGATCCAACACCATTTGTACAAGCTTCCATAAATTGCTCGTGTAACTCAATCTACATCATTTTCTGTTAAGTCTGAAAAGTAAATGCCACCAGGGTTTTCTTTAGGGGATCGCATGTCCAGAAACTAATATTTATTTCCATTTTTAGCACAGACTATGCTCGGAGCCCCAACACATTTTACAGAGTCTACGTCACGGTAAAAGCGCGCGCAAATATATATGCCCGTAAACAATAATTTTTTGCAAATTGTTCGGACGCGAGTGATAAGGAAAGTGCCACTAAATATGTTTTAACCCCGATGTACAAATCGGCCATGACTACTCGTATGCAATGAGTATTTCGTTATGAATGCTAGCAATGAACTACAAAAACAGATGATGATGATGGTGATGCTGATGCTGATGATGGTGATGGTGATGATGACGATGCCGAGAGCGCAACAAATCACGATCAAACAACTGTGTGTTTCGGAGAACTGGAAAAAATGCACCAGCGTGGCTTTATCAGTTTGTGGACCAACGCCAAACTGTGCGGATCAAGTAGAGAGCTGAAATACTGAAACAAATTTAAGCTCAGAAATGTTACAAAGCCTGCTGTGCCTGCTGCCACTTCTCGGCAGTCTGCAAAGTGCAGAATTACGTAAGCCAAATTTTAAAAACCAACCTAAAACCAATGGATTATCAAAATATTTGTAAAAGCGCGTATAAAGTTCAGCTTCCCAGAAAAATATATATTTATGTATATACCCGTCTATACGAGAAAGAAAGAAAGATCAGTTTGTGATAGTGAATATGTATATATATTTTTCTATAATATAGTGTGTGTCTTCTCATTACAGCCGCCTATGACACCCTACGTGAACGCATCATGGATACTGAGCGTCTGGCCACAGTGGGCGGCACCATTTGGCTATCACAGGACGAGGAGAAGGCCAACAGCATTTTGATGAACGCCAAGCGGGCAGAAATTGCGGAAGGTTTTAAGAATCCGCTGAAATATGCTCCGGCAATGCACTTCTTCCAGGGCCGCCAATACGTGCATCAGAGCGAAGTGTTCCGCATTATACAGAGAATGCCGAAGGGGGCCTTTCTGCATGGCCACAATACGGGCATGGTTAGTTCCAAATGGATCATACAAAATCTGACAACGTCAAGCAACCTGTACACATGCATGGATGTCAATCAGCTGCTGATCTTCACGTACGATCAGAGCAAGTGCCATAGCGAGATCCAGAACGTGTGTACAGAGCGAAATGATCTCAACGAAAAGGACCGCATGAAATACGAGCGGCAATTGGAGCGTCACATCAACATGCATCGCAAGCATCCCGAAAGTGAGAGAACAAGCTCGCAAATTACGCCGCCCTCCCACTTATTCTAACACATATTCTTGATCCTTCTAGTGATGCTGCCAAATAGGACGCTAATCTGGAAGCAATTCGAGAACATTTTCACAACAGTAGACAAGCTATATAAATACCGACCCACATACTGCGCCTACCACAAACGCTTGCTCGAGGAATTGTGCGAAGATAACATTATCTATGCCGAAATCAGAGCTTCGCTGTCGCCGGTAAATAGGCTATAACTTATGCCACAGCAGCCAGATTTCAAGACAAACCTGTGTGCTTTCAGCTCTATGATGAAACGAATCGTACCTACAACACGCTGGAAGTGGCCAATGAGCTGGAACGCATTGTGGAAGAGTTTAAGGCTAAGCACTCGGACTTTGTGGGCCTGAAAGTAATATACGCCAAACGAAACCGAGCTAGTGAGGATGAAATGGCCAAGCGCATTGTGACGTTCAAGCAACTGCAGTGAGTCCAGCTCCAACTCTCCCTGCTCAACATCGAAATTAGTGTGCTCCTTCCTCTCTCTTTGCAGCAACGCCAAGCCGAACTTCATCATTGGCTTTGACTTGATTGGTAATGAGGATACAGGTGATCCGATTCATAAGTATATCAACGAGTTGTCCGATTTGCCCAGCACGGCACATTATTTCTTTCATGCTGGCGAAACGAGTAAGTGTGGCTGCAAACAACTCACTAACAAGGATGAATTCACTTACATGGCTCTACCCCGAACAGATTGGTATGGTCGCACAGACTGGAACATGATGGATGCCATTTTATTGAATACCAAACGCATTGGACATGGCTTTGCTCTGCCCAAGCATCCCCAGCTATGGTCTACGATCAAGAAACGCCACATAGCCATCGAGGTAAATCCTATATCGAATCAAGTGCTGGGCTTGGTCTGGGATTTGCGCAATCATCCGGCCAGCTTTATGATAGCTGAGAACTTTCCCATTATTATATCGTCTGACGATCCCGGCGTCTGGGGCGCCAAGGGTCTGAGCTATGACTTCTACTATGCCTTCATGGCTCTGGCACCGGCAGAAGCGGATCTGCGTTTCCTGAAGCAGCTGGCGCTGAACTCTATAAAATATGCTACACTCACATCGGATGAACGACGCAAGATCAATCGCGTGTTCCAAAAAAAATGGCTGGAGTTTATTGCGAGTGTTATCCGTAACTAGAATTTAAGCTACCAAAATCTTCTAGGAAAATATATAGACGAGTAAGACCTCTAAACCCAAACTATCTTAAGCCGTTTGAGGGGCAAACCAGCCATGCAGGCACTTGGGCACCGGTCCGTTTGTATGAAAATCACAGCGTCCTAGCTCCATCATTGTCCTTGCACAGATTACAATGAGGCCCACATAGCGGTCGTTCAGTCCTCCAACCACCATGGCGGCCAGCAGAACGCCATCATCCTCGCTTTTGGCATTCGGCGAAGGCACGAAAATGGGTTCACTTGGATAAACGTTCGGCTCGCACCAAGTCTTGCTGGTTTTCGTTAGCACATCGACTTTGATGAGCTAAAAGGGGTAAGGAAATTTAAGTATGGATAAGGAATGCTAACCGATCCACTTACTGTGCCAGGATTATCAGCAGCCACATCCGAGCTGATTGCGTAGAAGTAGCGATACTTCTTTCCCATGTAGCGCTCGTAATAAATGCGCGGCGTCTCACAGCCCCAGTCGCACAGCATCTCGGGTCGCAGCAGAATATCTCCAGTCGTGCTCTTGAAAGCCTGCGCCTCGGTGTTCTCAAGGGTCACCAAATTAACGCACTCATCGTAGCGCGCTCGCTTGACTTCTGCCGCCGGCGACGCCTCCTTACCATTAGTCGGCATATAGGTGATGTCCTCGTATTGCGATTCAGAGTGCTTCAGGCGAGATGGCTGAGATGAACGCGCCGCACTCAGACCTGCTAGTGAGAACGACTTAACTAGACGGCTTCTGGTACTGCGACACGTAGGTGGCGACGAATTTTTGGCATCCAAGTTGCTGCCCAAGGGCAAAACGAAGCGTAGCGGACGCCCTCGAAATAGTGTAGCATAGTTGGGATTTGTTTGCATATTAGCTATAGCCTCCAAATACATGCAGTTGATCATCTCTGGATCCTTATAGCAGCAAATATCGACGACCACATGTCTGTCCTCTTCATAGGCATTAATGATATGCAGATAGAAGAAAGCCTCGGACTCAAAAGTCTGGCATAGCTTTCCGGTGGCACGATCAATTAGGTGAAATAACGTGGGCTTGTCCTCGTACCACTTGAGGCAGGCACACAAATTTTGGCCATACAACTGCGCCTTAATGTACTCCGTCAGAGAGATTGAGAGCGGCTGCTCCACAATCACAAAGTAGTGCTCCGTCAGTCCAAAGGTGTGCATGTAGCCGGGATGCAGCTTCCAGCGGCAGGGCAATGTGGCCACCACATGTGCGTCCTCGAACATATGCTCGCCATAGGGAAAACAAATCACTGTGTAGGCTGGACCCGTTCTGGTCATAGTGGTGCCGATATTGTAGACAGTACCACTAGGGAGCACATGAGGGTGCGACGTATGATTTACCACGCCGACATAGTCGGTTATGCAGAGACGTGCCTCTGTCGCCAGTGTACGCGGGTTGATGCTGTAGAAAGGGAGATTATTAAATTAATATAAATATGTATATGTATGAATATCTATAAACTTGTATATTACCGATGCACGAACGGAGTCTCTGTAAAGCTATAGTACTCATCACCGAACGGATAAATGGATATCATCGAGTTATCTGTGCCGCTATCAGGCTTAAAAATGGCCGCAAATCTATCAAATATCGAATGACAAGGATCCGGCACTGCAGCCGTACCGAACTCTGTGACCACAATACGCTGTGCCGCACGATTCCTCTGCAACGTCTTCGTGTCCACAAATCGATTTTGATAGGTCACCCGTCCATCTTTGATGGCGAAACGATGCAGCAGTGCGGAGCAATCAAATAGATGTCCGAAAGTCATGTCGCCCACCTTCCAGCTACCCGGACCATTGCGCAACAGACTTCCATTTAACCACTTGGGTATATGACCACTGACATGACCCTCGAGGGGGTCGACAATCTCTCGCTCGCAGGAACGCAGCCAAACGTCAGAGGCACAGTTAGGATAGTATCGGCCATTGCCATCCAAACGTTTCGACTCAGGATCGTGAGTTTCCGCATTGTATTTAACCTGTTGAAGAAATAAACAAACTGCCTTAAGCTATTTGGAATTTTGCAGTACGACAAAAGTTTCAAACACCCCGTGAAACTGTTTGCGTTTTAACGCGGCTTACTGTGGATTAAGCTTAAATTCTAGCTATGTGGCATTTCGAGAATCCGCGCACATTCCATTCAGCTGTGCCAGTTCTCAAGGAACTTTGCTTTACTACGGCCTTGAACAATGGCCATTAGCCTTGACTGGCTAGGAAAGTACACGTCACACTGCCTTCGTTAGGGACGAAAAGAATTAGAAAGAACCGTAGTATATCTAGTCTAAGCAGTGGACTCTTGAATTCCGAACTATATAAGTTTTAATCAGGATTAGTTGACTAATAGCTAATAAGGACACTTCATTAAAAATCTAGTGACTGATTTTAATCATGAATGAATATTACTGAGGATACCTTGTTAGGTATCTGTCAATTAATCTTAAGAGGAAATTAAATAAATTCTCCTTCCATGGGCTGCACAAAAAGGATATAACTCTCCAGGGAAGGTAAAATGAAACCAGACTTTCGTCACTCAACCTGAACAATGTCAGTCGAATTGTGAGTCCACTATAGCGTAACATCTCTTTTTTAAGATCACAAAAAACAAAACAAACATGCTTTAAAATTCGTATATATTGTCAATTATATTTAGGCATACTTTTGGAAATCGTATACTCAAATTTTTTTTGATTTATTTTTAAGCATATTAGTTTGTATAGAAACGGCCATAAACTGCACTAACCGCAAAGAAATCGCGGATGAAACTTTTAAATACGCCTGCTGCCATCTTAAAGCTGCCAAACGTAACGGAACGTTTAAGGATTCCTCAAGTGGGAACCGGGGTATGTAACGGTAATGGTAAAAAAAGGAAGCTAGTCCGCGCCGATTTTCTGTCAAGTGTGGAACTGCACTTTACTATTGCGGGTGCCCTGCTAGAAAACCAAACGGCAACTGACAAGTTTTTCAAAGCGTTTTCACCTCAACGACGACGACGAAGCTGCCGCCACCAAGCGCCACACAATGCTAAGCGATGCTGGTGGTGGTGGTGGCGATGGCGATGGCGGTTTATGCCCACTTGGGGGTGCGCTGCTCAGGCAACTGACCCTTCGCAAACATGCGCTTGGTATTCATAATTTTGATTGACAGTCGTCGTAGTTGGACGTTCGTTGGGAGCGGGAGCGTCATTAGGCGAAATGCAAAACAAAAACGCAAAAGGCCGCACGTCGCATTAGTTTGTACATATGTACATGTACGAGTACATATACACACACCTACTATATGTATGCATGTGTGTGTATGTGGCACAGCATTTTTGCCGCTTCAACGACAATTGAGCAGCGACATTGTAAAGAACACACGTGCTAGAAGGCAATTGTGAAACTGCCAACATTTTTCCTCGAGCGTAGCACAGCGTCGATATTTAATCCGTACTTCAAAACAGCGCGACTGACTTTTGTGGCTAGTCGCAACGACCTTGGCCCAGGTTGCTTATTCTAATATGTCTTCTAATATATGATTTTTTCCATCTTTCAGAAGCCAACAACTAAGACAATACGAAACTCAATAGCTGGAAGGGAAGATAGAAAAAATGATGTAAGTGACACTGCCGATTTAGCGTAAACCTTTAAGCTTCTGCAGCTCATTGCGCATACGCCGCATGTGACAGTCGCTCGCTAGTTAGCTCGGCCGGTAGGCGCAACAGCTGATGTGGAGGCGCACGCTCTTTGGATAAGTTCATTGTCAAAACAATTAAAAACTAGCTAAGCCTATTGTAAGTAATTTGAAGAGCAGCTTGCAGGTGCACCGCGAACATTGCCCCAGATTTTAATTCTAACCTTATTAAATTTAATTAGTTGGGTGCACAGCTGGATGTGCTGAATCAGTTTAGGCATTGGAGGCATGTTTTCACTAATTCAGGGATAACATCTATCTATGCAGCTAACAGACACTACCTTGGAAATAAACAAGGATTAGAGTTGCGCTTTTTGTTCATTGGCTTGTTGTTTCTTGGAAACAAAATTTGTCAAACAGTTTGATCCCTCTTTCATTTCAATAGTAAATTATAAATACACAATTTTCTTGCTCTATATCAAATTAAGCATCTTCAGTTTTGGACCTCAAAAATATTCTATTGATCTATTTTAAAATGTTGACGATTAAATTAAACCAACACCCTCCTCTTCGCTTCAAATGCAAAGCACTTACCCGAATTATTTTAGTCACAAATATTGAAGTTATTTAGCTATCAGCTTTCCGATCATAAATAATAGTATTTTACTTTTTATTTATATTTTATTTATGTTATTGACTGTCGTTTTTTTTTTTTAACAAACCTTTTAAGGTAGAAAAGCCTAAGTATGAGAAATCTAATCAAGTTACAATAATATCTAGTAAAACGCCTCCGACCCGGTTATTAACTTTTCGGCTAGCTATGCCGATGGGTGGTACCACAACTCTAGTTATAATAATAATAATAATAAATAAATAATAAATAAAATTAGGCCATTACTATACAATTTTGTAAAGCAGTTAGAACTTATTATAGTTAGTATTCTTCATATTATCATTATTTTTACATTACGAACAACTATTACTATTTATTATCTTTTCATTATTCACAGTTTTCTAGTATTATTGGTTTTTGAAACTATTGTTATATAGACTATTTATGTGATAGTTGAAAAGCTAATTCGTAGTCACATCCATAAATCTTTAAAGATATGATCATAAATGCTGAAGCATGCGCTGCACCTACAACTTGTATTTTATTATGGCTTTGAAATTTTGCTATCTTCGTAAATTCCGCAACCAAATGTATAAGTGATTAATAATTTATAATTATTTATAACTACGAGTATAACATGAGCAAATCGAAAGTAGATCAGTAAATGCTTATCTTTTAATTAAGTTTGGCGAATTTTAAACTGCCAAGTGACGCGCCCACATCTAGTGTTGATAAACGCTCCCAGGTCCCACAGCTGTTGACAGCCAAATACGCAGCACAAAACAAACGGCGCAAAAAACACAAATAGTAGATTTGCCAAATTAGTGCATTTATGTTTACAAGCTGAGATACATATACCATCTATCTCTACGCAGTTACGAGGGCAACGGCAACGATATTCTGGGCACATTCAATTTGAGCCGCGAATGCAACGGATTTGGTGGCGACGACGCTCTTGCCCCCGACTCCCCAGGACATCCGTGCTTCACGCATTTCGGCTGTCCCTGCGATATGAACGACAACAGTCCGCATGAGTGTATGCCGCATACACATATGAAGGCGCCACAAGCTAGCAGAATACCACGCACCCGACCTCGCGTCGCCACACGCCCCAATCTATCGTTTTTGAATCCTGTATTCCATGAACGCTCACAAGCAGAGGATGACGGCGTGTTGTCCCAGCAATTGTGGAAACTGGCGCGCAAGACCGGCACGCTGAATCTTTCCAACAAGGGCTTGGCACGCGGTGAGTAAAGACAACCAGCAGCAAAATTCAGCTAAAGAGTATACATATGTACATACATATAAATGTACATACATCATGTACATAAAAATGTGTGTTTTTGTGAACGTGTGCGTGTGTAGTTGTAACGGAAAAGCAAGTGCAGCAGTGGAAGTCGAGAGGAAGGCGGACGCGGACGCGGACACATGCCCAAAAGCACGACAAGGTGATCCCGTTGCCCGACCTGGCAATGTCACACGCGCTCAGTCAGGGCATGGTTGACTCCGGCGCTCTCTGGTTTCACTTCATGTGATGCAACGATATCTTGATCTTGGCATTGGCGGATGTCGTTTATGTGGAGATCACCCTACATGGCGATGTGCAAATTTCGCGCATCATTAACTAGCGCCGTACGTAGTTGCCTCATGGGTTATTGCTCCAAGGTGTTGGATTTGTGTACTCGACTAACGATTTAGTCAGTATGCTGCACTCGATGGTGTCGCTAGTGTTGTCGGTTGTAATCTTTCAAACACAAAACGAAATCAGAATCCTTCAAAATTGCGTCGTCCAAGCCAACGCGTAAGAAAGAACTCACGTCGTTCTGCATGTGCGGTCCTTATTCGCGACGACGCTATTACCACATACGCGAGTTCCACATGGCATCGTCGGCAAGCGAACTGGAGAGCGAGGATCTCGATGATGAAATCGAATTGGATGCACCTGAGTCCAGCCAAAGCAACTGTACTATTACCTTATACCTTAGAGCTTTATGTGTGCGTGTGTGTGTGTGATGTGCCTTTTAATGGCCACCACTTCCTTCTTGCCTACTTGCAGTGCCCGAACGCATCTATGATATCAATGAAGCCGATGCCGATAGTCAGGCCGCCAACTTGGAGCAATTGTCCATCAAGGAGGAGGACGCCTGGTGGAATCAAGTGCCATTAAACAATCTGGACCTAAGCTCCAATGCCTTGACACACATTTCGCCAAAAATTGAAAATTTGCAGTCGCTTACCGTGCTAATTGTAAGTCCCAAAAGAAATTGAATTGACGAACAAGGTCTTAAATATAATATATAGTATACTATATATTCAAAAATCTTAGAAACAGTTTGAGGCGGGGCTCCCCAATCAATGGGGAGAACATAAAGAGACTCTGACACGATATCTCAATTATTTTAGTGGCCTTTATTTGAATTTTAAGTCTTAAAATTAATCGCAGATGCTGAAAAATAATTTTTCGAATTCAATATTTCTCCTGGATTGTTTTGTCTCTTTTACTTAACGAAAAGTTTTGCTAACTACTGAAAACAAGAATAGACTTCTAAGTCAAGCGGACCCGTGTAAACTTTGATAATTGGGCACAATGTATAAAAACTAAGTACTAAACTGATGTTTTGTCATGCTTTTTTAATATCCTCCATTGAAAGTAAAGTCCATGTTTCGCGAGTCAAAAATTATTTGACAAATGGGTTAAGTAATTTTGAACTTTAGTTTTGAATACATGGTGCTGCAAAGTAAAGTGGGCTTTTTAAAAATGGTGAATGGTCATACAAAACTTTGGATGCCTTGACGCCCTTGCAGCACTTTCCTATCACAGACATAAATATGTATTCAATTTTCCCAAAAAGAATATAATCACTTGCAACGAAATCGGACGACTAATTGACATTTCAATTGCGATTTTTGGTCAAAATCATTCATCAAAATGTGATATTTTTAAAAAGTCCTGTTCACTTTATGATGTATCTTGTATATTTCTCATCCTTTTATATGATATAGGCCCTCAAAAACTATATGGCTACTTTTTAATTAAAATCGAATCCTTATACTTCATTACATTTAACTTGATTTCTTAAATGTCTCGGATGCCTAAAAAGTTAATTTTACAACTTAATTATGTGTTTCACGAACTTTAAATGCCCTGTATTTTCAATTTTGAATCTCCCCCTAATATTATTACTATGTTCTTTCGTTCACTGCAGCTGCACGACAATGCTCTGGTCACACTGCCGCCAGAGATGGCCAAGCTGGAGAAGCTCGTGCGCCTAAATCTGAGCCACAATAAGCTGAGCGATTTACCGCGCGAGCTCTACAGCTTGCCGGAGCTGCGGCATCTGAACATATCGTATAATGAATTTAGTGAGCTGGATCCAGATATCAGCGACTTGCATATGCTAGAATTTTTGGTAAGTATTTGTCAGTCACTGAGGTTTACGTAAAACTGGTTGTGGGAAATAATAAACAATGTATTTCACTAATGCCTACCAATAACCACCTGCCGCTTATTTTCTAACCTTGCTAACACGCCTGTCCAAAAACAAAACCGTTAAAAATTAAGGATGCTGGCCACAATAACATACAAATTATCCCCGGTGGAATTGGTTTTCTAGTGCGTCTAACCGCGCTTTTATTGCCCTTTAACCACATCAAGGAATTACCGCCCGATCTTGTTAGCATGCGATGTAAGTTGTCCACCTTGTTGGTTGCCAAAACTTAAAAACTTAACCAAGCCGAATCCATTCCCCGAAAGCTTTGCAAAAACTGGATCTGATGCAGAACGATTTAATTTACCTGCCGGACGACATTGGACTGCTGAGGAAGCTTCAATGCTTGTATATTCAGCACAATGACATCAAAATGCTGCCCGACTTTGAGGGAAGCGAGGAGCTGCAGGAGCTACATGCAAGCAACAATTTTATTGAGGTAGGTAGACTATTGGAAACGTATTTTAAGTTCGCAATGAAACTGTGGACTTGGCCTGATGATCAAGGCCTAGGTCCTTCTTTTCCTTTGTCTGTCTGTATCTCTGACAGCATAGAAGCCCATGGTTGGGGACCATGGTATGCAAGCTATGGATTAATGTTCTTATGATGCCACACTTCCTTAGCTTAGCTTTTGTTAAGATGACCAGACAAACCCACTTTCCACATGTCTATCTAAACCCAAAGATCTTGAAACGCATAAAATCTTGAAATTAAAGAGTCCAATTAGGTGTTAAGCGAGTTATTTATTTTTATATACTTATCTATAAACGTATATATTTTTTAGGCCTTATAGAATTTAGAATTGTCAAACTTCTGTACTTTTCTAAACTTAACCTTTAGAGCGTTCCAAAGGCTTTGTGCGCCAATTTGCCGCATTTGAAGATTTTTGATTTACGAGACAACAAAATCTCCATACTACCCGATGAGATATGCCTGCTACGCAATCTGCATCGTCTGGATGTATCGAATAATTCCATAAACACGCTGCCCGTCACACTCTCCGCATTGGCCCATTTGATCAGCCTACAGGTTGATGGCAATCCGATCAAGACAATACGACGCGACATCTTGCAATGCGGTACGACACGCATTCTAAAGACCCTACAAGAGCGCGCACAGGCCAAGGCGCGAGAAGGTGGAGCTGATAATGCAACAGCAGGGGCACCAGGTCCGGATGAAGCTCTGCGCCTGCGTGGAGGCCAAGCAAATGAAGCCCGAAACTATCCGGACAAGTGAGTAGCTCTGCTCTAAGATCTTTCCAGCTCTTATAAACGCGCTGTCGCAGTCACAGACAGCAGCATTATCCCTGCCAGTGCGTTCAGTGCCGCAGCCATTACCAGCAGCAGTTCCAATCGTCCCAACAGCGCTTCTGCAATTGCCCGCAGTGCATGTATCGGCAGCAACAGGAAGCGTCTGGCTATTACCGAACAGTTACCAATCAATATGCGCAACCAGACTTGGCTCACTATCGAACTTATAATGCTTATCAAAATTCTAGTTTCGCGTCGTACCAGCAGCAAGAGACGGATGAACAGACTGACGCTTCTTTGGAAGTGCATCCGCGTTGGGTGTAGTGTATCACCAAGTTCCAATTCTTCACTAGCCTCGCATTCCCCATCCAGCTTCTCAGCTTCTTTGTCTCAACTTGGCGCCTAGCATTCATACTCATTGAATTATTTCGTCCCCTCTACAGATACAAATTGCGTCAATCGCGAACGCTGGCGGTCAACTTGGAGGAGCTGACGGACGTGCCCGAAAGCGTGTTCCAGATGGCCCGGGAGGAGAATGTACATGTCGTCGATTTTGCTCGCAATCAACTTGGCACTTTGCCAGCAGGGTACTTCAAAATAGATGCCTATAATTTGACGATAATTTACCACATTTATCTTCTTTTTTCTTTTGCTCACTCTTTTCACAGTTTGCAGCATTTGTGCCATCTGGTGACGGAGCTTGTTCTGGGGCACAACCTGATTAGCCATATACCGCCGTTTATATCGCAATTCACACGCATTACATTTATTGATTTGTCCAACAACTTGCTCAAGGACTTGCCCAGTGAAATTGGTGTTTTGAATACCCTACGTGAGCTTAATATAGCTAATAATCGGTAATTATAATGGCAGTTAATAGATAATAGTAATGGTAAGAGAGAAGATACCAACTAGAAACTAGAAATAGATCAATCTTAATTGAACAATTTCCATTGAGTTGTTAAAGCAACTTGCAGATCTTGGTCGACTAATCCAATTGAAGTCCGACCTTCAATCACATTACCAATTTTATGTTATTTTAATCAAAAGAAATGTCCGACCCAGTTTATAAAACAATTCGTTGAAAGATTGGAATACCAATAAACACGTTTTGGCACTTAATCAGAATTTGTTCCTCCACTGATCCCTGATCCATTGCCTATGCATTTTAATCTTACAATTCCAAGAACTCAATTTCCAATTCTTAGCTAGCGCCGCATTCCACCTCCAGCTTTTCAGCTTTTTCATAATTTTTTGATAATATTCATTTAGAACTTAGTCATTGCAGCCCGATTTGCAAGTACAGCATCGATATGTCACTTCAAAAGAAATGAAATCATTTGTAGACATATTGGATTACCAATTAACATATTTGTGGCTTTTAAGTAACGATTTAATTCGCGTTTGATCTCTGACTCATCCTATCTAATATAACACCTCACACATACCGCAACAACTGATGTCCATAATCTGTGGTTTGCAGTCTCGAGTTTTTGCCCAATGGCTTGTACGAGCTGCAAAGCCTCGAGGTCTTGATTGCCAGTGATAATCATATTAAAGCGCTAAATGTCTCGGGTCTCGGCGCCATGAGGCGCTTGGCCACATTGGACCTGCGCAATAACGATATCGATTTTGTGCCACCCATACTTGGCAATCTGACAAATATAACGTAAGTAGCCGATCCACCTTGTATGCCATCTTATGTTGATCGTATTGTTTCCGTTCATTTTAGCCGGCTGGAGCTGGTGGGCAATCCGTTTCGACAGCCGCGCCATCAGATCTTGGCCAAAGGGACGGAGGCTATTATGTCGTACCTGCGTGATCGTATACCCATATGAATTGGAGCAGCTGCTACGACCTCGAGCACTCTCCCAAATTCAAAATTCGTCTCTGTTTCATTTAGCTCCAAAGTTTGAGCGTTAATTAATTTTATTGTGTTATTATTTTGACGAAAAGCTAAACCAAAATTTCAGTAATGACTGCACCTGCACGCACACACACAAGCACCTAAAGAAGGTGATGTGTGTGTGTGTGGGTGCAACTGCAGGAGGCACGCATCACAACAACAAAAAAAAAAACACTCAACTCAAGGCTATATACTAAAATACTAGTCAGAAAACACGCACATTGTTGATCTTTTGGAAAGGCAGCTTGCAAAAATTAAATATTGAATAAAAGACCATTGTGTTTAGTATTATTTTTGTGATCGGCAAGGAATCGAATCCCCCCAGTGTCCAATAAGCAGGAGACATACTAATGCACTCAGTTGTGCTCCACAACCTCGCTACGCAGTCGCTTCGCTAGTGTACGTCGCAGCTGCAGCGCCGCAGATTCCTCGCTGTCTGGGGAAGGCGCCGCCAGCTCCGTGGTCTTGCCACCATTCTCCATTAGTCGCTGAGCCACCTGTGCCGAATTAGGTCGTGATCCGGTTGCCTGTGCGCTGCTGCGTGCCACAGTGTCCTGCAGTTGCTTGGCACGCGTCTGCTTCTTAATCTCCACAATCTTGTCGCGCTGCTGGCGCAGATATTCCTGACGGGAGACCACATCATTGGGGTCGACTTTATCCTGTTGCTCAAAGAACAAATTCAAGCGTTGGAACTTATCGTTAACCAAATCGACGCCTGCATCATGATCGGGCGTCAGAGCTGCTTCGGGACTTTCAAGTTCGTCGCTCACCGCCTTGGCTATAAGTTCCACTTCAGCGGCGGTCTCCCTAGATGCCGTTTATAAGATATTAATATGATAAAACTTAATATAAAAAGTAAAAGTAAGGGCGCACCCCTGATCCGAGCCCGTGGCACTGTCATCATCCGCCTGTTCAGTAGATGTTGCGAAGGACAATTGATTCTTCTCAATGAGATCCAATGCCTGCAACTGAAGCTCCACGTTACGTTGCGTCATCATGCGTATGAAAATTTTTAAATCGTTGGCGGCCCATATCTAAGGAAATGGTTTGACATGGAAGCGCACGGCCAGCTTAGAAACAATTCATGCACGGACTTACCTGTTGAAAGAGCACCTGATGGAACTGAAAAGGATTCTCTCCCTGTCCCTGCTGGCGGCCCTCAAGGCAAGCCTGCTCGAATTGCTCTGGCGATATTTGCATCTCCTCCATAAAGCTGCCCAGCATATAGTCTACGAGATTTTTGTATTCCTCGTGTATCTGCCGGATCTCGGCATTGTTCTCATCCAGCTGCAAGTTTGGATCGAAGACTGTGATGGGATTTACATTAGCTACTGACGTGTCAATCAAATAAATGTTGTGACGTGGATCTAGTTTACCTAATGATTTCTCCTCTATAAAGGTCTGTAACGGTGCATTCCACACGGGGCCATGTAAGAAGCAAACTAAGGAGTCGAAGACCCAGGAATCTTCGGCTGACATTTTTCTTGCTATTCGACAAAAATTTTCACCGAAATCAACTGACTTTGTCTTTGTTCTAAGGTGGCGTAAAGTTCAATGTTTGGACCTTCAACTAGTTACCTTGGTAACAAACTAAGTTAAAGGACTCTATCACCTTTACTAACCAGGGTTGGCAATTCCCTTAATTGTGACTATGTAGCCCCAAAAAAAAGTTTGAAAATAAAAGAAAACACATAGTGGAGCGCATTTTGTTTAAAAACTATTAAAAACTATGATTTAATTACTCATAATATAGGTTCTTTATATATATATATATATATACTATATAATTTTTCATGATGATCTTTAAACAACTAAATAAAATGTTGAAATTATATAGTAAGGTGTGTATGCATTAGGGTTAGGATTAGGGTAAGACAGCATATATCATATACAATACACATTTATAAATACTTTTTATAAACTATAGTTTTTTTTTATCGTTTGCTCTTTTGTTTTTGCGCTTTAATTTTTAATTGTTGCAGTTCAATCCATCAAACAAAAACAACAACATGGAAGGATATATTTATGTTATGTTATATATGTATGTATGCAGCATATATGTGTATGTATATGGTGTAGGTTGCTCTTTTGTGCTCTTGCAAAAGGAAACCATTTTCAGTGAGAAAGTTGTTTAGCTTGACGTGTTGTAAATTTAAAGTAAACACTATAATAAATATATAAAGTACGCGCATGGCAGATATTAACAAATAACTGTTTTGACAGCTAAGCCAAATCAATCAGTGTAGGTGTGTGGATTCCGAAAAAAAAACCTATGTCTGGCCCTCGAACCATCACTGCTCCCGCTTTGGTCCAGCCAGTCATGTAGTATTTTCGGGGCGTCTCATAGTACTAGAAACCACATCATGTGTACATATTTCGTTTAAACTAAAGCGAATAAAATAAACTTACATGGAAAACTATGAAGACTTCTTTTGTTTTATTTATTGGTTTTACTTTACGCACTATTTTTAATTATCATTTGTTAGCTTTTATTTGTTTGTAAATGATGTATATGCGCATGTGTCGCCTCTCCGGGTTTTTTATTTTATGTTTTTATTGAAATCGTAGCACAATTATTCCTTCAGACAATGTTGTTGCACGGTTTCTTAAAAGACTTTTCTCTAGAATAACACAATTACAATTTCATTTGCTCTGTACTTGCTATTATACAAAATTCAACATCGCATTCGTTTTGTCTGCTCAAGCGGTTTAAAAGATGCAAGAATCTCCATTGCGATATGGATTGGTTATAACGGGTAATGCTAAATTATATACAAGGATTGGATTTAATTTAAACTATTTGGAACTTATTATTACTTATGGGGGGAGAAGTTTAATATGATAATCTAAATGAACAAAACAAATATCGTAAAGTTGGCTGTTGGCTGATGCTGCAGATATTTTGAAAGCGGGATTGTTATTCTGTTGTTCAGTTATTTGAGAGCGACTCATTAGTTATAATATTCAAGCGCTGTCTATAAGCGAACATGACTCAAGATAAAACCAAGCGGGCGTTATCTGCGATTTGCTTATAGACAGCGCCATAATATTCAATGTCGAACTAAGCCTAGTTAATATTATATGTATCAAAAGTCAGTACTTAAAAAATACACCTAAATACGTGTTTCAGAAAAAGGTTGAAAAACCACTAAAAGAAATACAAGTAAGAAAAAGGACTGCAAGATTATTGAGCAACCCCCACAGCAAAATATTGCACCATTTGTTTTTTTTTTTTTGCACTCGCATGCAGCCAACTTTACAAAATTTGTTTTGATGGCATTTTATTTTATTTATTGCTGCCTCTGCATCTCTTAAACATCGCATATCCCACTGCCGTTAGTGTTCTTTTTTGTTTTTCTTTACTTTTTGTTTCTGTTTAACTGCTAAATACATTTTTATTTTGGTTTCTTTGTTTTGTGTTTTACAATATTTAAACACCACACACATGTACTAAATTGATGTGCGTGTGTGCTTCAGTGTATGTGTACTCGTATATGCCTTTTGAACATATATATATTTTGTAATTTATATATATATATGTATATATATGTTTTAATTTAGTAAAGTAAGTTTTGTTTTAAATTTTTTTGTTTTACTTCTTTAAAATAGGTTGTTTAAGCTAAAATGTTATTTTATGGTTGATTTTTCTTGTTCTTGTTCGATCTTACATCGTACCGTTTTCTAATGTTGTTGTTTTTAGCAGATTTTACTGTTCAGTATTGTTGCTCATGTTGTTGTTACTGCTGCTGCATTGCTACTAGATAACTTTACAAGCCTTTTTGAAAAAGCGCCGCTGCTCATGGCTGCTGCTTACCTTTCGATTTATATGTTCGTTGGTGTGTGTGTGTGTGGTTTTATTTTTTTATGTGTGGGTGAGTGTGTGAGTGCGTGTGTTCTTTTGTATTGTTTTGTAATTGATGATGCCGCGCACTTCTAACTTCTCTATCTACTGCTCACATCTTACTATACCAAACGCGCGCGTTTTTGTGCTTGTGGGCCATCAGTTTCCTCATCCTCCTCGTAGTCATCCTCACCCGAGTCGCTCTCGTAATCCACCAAACCCTAAAAAAAAAAAACAGAATGGGTAAGTATGCAATGGACATGGCTTTAATGTTGTAGCCAACTCACCTTCTTAGTCGTTTTGTCCGCATCGCTTGACGGTACATCGGCGTTCGCTTCTACTGCAATTTCCTCGTCTACTTTTATGTGCGCATCGCTCGCATCCCCCGTACCTGACTGTGACGCACTGTCGTTGTTGGTATTAGCCACGGTTACAGCAGCCGCCGTTACTGAGGCTGCCATGGCAGTTGCAATGGTTGTTAAAAACTGTGAGGCTGCCACTGCAGCCACAGTCGCCGAATCGCAAAGGGGCGGCGATGAAGACGACGACGAGGATGATGAGGAAGATGATGACGACGACGTTGATGAGGGCGATGCGTTAGCCGCGGGCGAGCCTGCTGATAGAACCAGCTCCTGATGCTGTTGCTCAACGGCTGCCAATTGCTGTTGCAGCTCTGTAATTTCTGGTTGTTGCTGCTGTTGACTTTCCAGCTGCGCCGCAGCAGCCGCATTCGATGTGGATGCAACGGCTGCCACAGCGGCTGCAGCAACGAGTGTGCTGTTTAAAGACAACTGTTGCTGCTGCTGGAATGAGTGCTGCTGTTGTTGCTGCTGCTGTTGCTGCTGATGATGTTGCAGAGCAATGTTCGCAGCTGCGGCTAAGTGAGCTGCGGCTTGAACTTGCTCATCGGCAACACTCTGTGCCTCCGGGCTGTTGCTGCCGCTGCTCCCGCCGGACGCTGATATTGATGCTGATGTGGCAGTTGCTGTCGCTGTGGAATTCAAATTACCCAAAAGACCGGTATGCGGCGTCGTGCTGTGCGGCGGCGAGGACTTTTGAGACTGATTCTGCGTTTGTTGCGGGCCATTTTTCTCATTGACGGCTGATAAAACAAATAAGTTAACCCAACGACATTCTTATGAAACTAAAGCCGCTCTCAGCTAGACAAATAATTTGAACACTAGGTTTGCCTCATTATAAAATGCATAGCAAATTTGTAAAAAGTTCATAAAAATATGTGTCAAATTATTTTATCCACCGGTCGCTTTTGTACTAATGTGCGCTACTTACACTTCAAGACATTGTTATAGTTATCGATATCTTCGGGAAAGTCATCTTCTTCATTAAACCACATTTCCTCTTCCTCCTCCATTTGGCGCTGATCCCGACGAAAGCGGTTACCGCCTCGTATTATGGGCACGCCCCTGAAAACGCCAACAATAACAGCCATAAGCAATGCACTGCTGTTGGTAATCATTTGATGTGAATTGACTTACCCGTCTGTGCGATTCTCCAACTTATCGCGATCCTTCAGCCGATCCTGATACTGATCGTAGCGATTCTTCAAATATTTAAATGTCTGCACATATTCGATTTCATCAAATATTTTGCTGAAGTTCTCCACAAAGTAAACGCACAGCGTGCGTATGTCCTCGAGTTTTATAAACTCAAACAGTTCCAAAATTGCCGACTCCAGTAGATTATAGCGGCCATTGTTGCGGATGAATGCATCGACCACGGGCGCAAACAAATTGCACTTGACGATGTGTCTGAGAAAGATCAAAATAAGCGTGAAGTGTGATTTAAGCTTACGTCATTTCATCCATTTTTCGACTAACCTGTTGTAGAACTCGTCCTTAAGCGCAATTATTTTCCTCAGTAATCGCAGAGCGCCAAGTACAAGGAACGTGTGTGTGCTCTTCATCAGCACCAGAATTCGTTTGAGGAGATCTTTTTGCAATAAGAAATTCTTAATGTGATAGCTATGATGTTCCACACAAAATGACAAAATGTCCAGCACGATGCCGAGCAGCTGTGCAGTCTGGTAGTCCTCGTTCTGTGGACGGTCGCCCGTGGTGTTGAGCATCAGAGGCGCTAAAATGCCAACAGCTAATTAATTGCTGAACTAGCAATGATAACAACAGAGGGTCGAAACACTTACCAACCAACGTTTGCACACTGTACTTGTAGAAGAAGTTAAGGAAATCTCCCTTCTCTGTAAGCATGTTCTCTGGCTCCAATAGAATCTTGATGATACCCATCAATTGCACCGCGATTCCCAATTCAGGTTCAGAATCGTTTAACATTTGTTCAATGGCAATGTTCAGAAGCATGCGCTCCTAAAGAAACGTATGAAGACCCCCATTTTAAATTTGTAGTGATTAATGGAGATGTAGCTACTTACACCTTCCGGTCGATTGACTTGATTCAACGTGTAGTTGCGTACCACCAACGGCGAGAACTCCACAATGGCTGTGAGTATGTCAATGGAGGCCGATTTGGTGTTTTTATCATTCATTACCAGTGTCAATTCTAAGGCCTGCAGAATACCCAGGCAGGTGAGTGTCTTGTAGAACGAGTCTTTGCCCTGAGGCTGCAGATTTTGGGCGAAATTGCAGAATTCCTTCAGAAAGAGGACAATGTCGCGCCGCTTCGTATCGCTGGTATTGGGATCTGTGAGCAAAGTGAAAAGATCAAGGAGGAACCTTTCATCCTCCTGTATCAGCGTCACAATCTCGACTTTGTTGAAAAATATGAAGCTGGAGAGTGTGTTAAGCATGTTGTCTTCCACGAACACCGAGGGAGTGGGCAATATTATATCCTGTATGTACTGCACACGAAACGTCTGATGAATCTTGGCCAAAAGGTCCAGATTTTTTATGGGTACCGCCTCACGAAACTTGGCCCACAACTTCAAATACTGACGATGCTTTTTGGGCTGTGCTGAGCTTGGATCGTACTCCAGACATCCGACCACATCGAAAATCGTATCTTCGGCAAACATAATCTCGAAGAGGGCGTTCTTGTTCAGCAAGAAGATATTCTTAAATATCTCAAAAAGATGATGCAAGCCATCAGTATTATCGAGATCCTCACAGACGTGGAACAGATTAAGCAATTTCTTAATATAATTCTCCGACTCTAGTGCCATGGACAACTTTTCCTTGCGCAATGGCGTCGACAGGCAGCTTTGTATTGTCTCCGAAATGTCTTCGAGTCGCGACAGTTCACAGGGCGGCAGCTCGATTGGCGGGGCTGTGTCCGACATATCCTCGAATCGCTCATCCTCAGACTCCTCAACAATATCCTGTGTGATCTCTACCGAGGGATCTTTGCCTTGTACCTATTGGGCCGCCAAATGTAATATGTGGGCAACTTCGTCACTAACATATATTCGCCATATAGCTTACCTGGCATATTTTCTCCCAGATTTCATCGCAACCCGCCTTCTCTTGAAAACTTAAAGCTAAATCAAAATTGTCACCCTCAGACCAGACAATTAGTGTGTCCTGTTGCTTTTGGTAGGCGGTATCTGGTTGAATTTTACTCTCCAATAGTAAGGAACCATCTGATTCAGCGCGCACCAACAACGATATGCCTGAAAATGTATGAAGTGATCGAGGAACCATAGTTAGATAAGTGCGCCATTTAAGCCTCCAGCGGAAGTTAACGCACCTTTGAGTCGCTCCACATACGTGGATGAAACGTGACCAGTGCCGCGATCATCCCATTGGCGTTCGGCATTGAGCGCATACAGCTTAACGCGTCGGCGGGTATCGGTTGTCATGGTGTGGCGATTTGCTGGGATCTGTGTATGTGTGGGGGCGTGTGTTGTCTTTAAGAATTGTGTTCGGCTCTTTGCTCTACTTATTTAGAACTTTAAAAGGTTGTCTGGGGAAGTGGCTTGGTTGCAATTGGTTGGTGGTGCTGGAACGGCTCTGTGACAGAACCGAAAGCTACTATATACTAATTAAAATAAGGATATATTAGTTTTGAATTTGAAATTCAACTCATTCATCTAATCTCTAGTCCCGACGATAAAACATCCCCATGATAGGTATCGGTTTGCATCTGGACAATCGCCGGCACGAAATAACTGTAAATAATCAAAGGAAATATTTAAACAAGATTAATACATACATACATAGTACATACAAATGTACATAAGTATTAAATTTTAAAGCAAACATCTCGTATTTTTTTATTTATTTAGTGGTGTACACATGAGGGAGCTCCGATAAATGCGCATCAAAACAAAAAAAATACAATATGATTGGTAGCGGCGGCGATGGCGACGATGAATGAAAATGTGAAAGCCACGTTTGTAGGCAAAAACAAAATATACACATACACACTAGATACACACACATTTATATGCATATGTATAACCGCAAATGCATGGGGCAGAAGAAATGCCAAAAAATTACTTTTGCTCAGTCTGTTTACAAACATGAAATTTTTCAAATCTCTCCTCGCATCTCCTCTCCCGCGCTCGCGTTTCTGCAATTGTGTGTGACTCAGAGTCGCACGGTTTCTGCGAGTGTCTGATTGCGATTGTGTTAATTCTGCTGAGTGAGGTCTACATTGCCAACTATTTTCGCGCTTTCGCCACACATACATTCATACATACATACTCCGAACCTCATCACTGGAGGGAGCGACCCACAGCGGCGAGCTCAAACACGCGCGCGTAGACAGAAATGAGTGTGTGACAGAAAACAAACAAAAGCAACGAGAGCGATTTTGAACGGCTCTCGTTGCGTATGGCAAGTGCGGAGGGTTGACAGTGGGTGGGTAGGTGGTTGGTGGGTTTGCCAAAGATTAAATTATGGCACTGTTGCTAGTAGGGCTGTTGATATGTATTTAAAAATATATCACTATCACCAATATTTGCAATCGTGGGAAGAACCGATAATTCTCCCTTTGATTCAATTTGATTTTAACACAGGTTCATAACCTATTTTTTTATTGCTTGTTTTTTTAATGCGTAGTAAATTTTATACAAATTTCTTTATTTTGTGTTTTCGACCTGTTGTTCCACATTTTGTGTGGGAAACCTGCAATATAACGTTCCTAACATTAACAAATGTTTATCTATGATTAAAACATTATTACCAGAAAGGTCGACTCATCCCCCTAGTTCCCATATTATCAAATCTATTACAACGAAACATTTTACACGTTCAAATCGTTCAATCTATGTTACAAACTTCCATGTCAAGCTTATTATACTCTTCACATAAACTGAGAAAGGTATAGGAATGTTCAATTACACAGAAATATTCATATAAATGAATGTATGTACCTGTTTATGCGAGAGTGCAACAAGACGCAAATACGTCACCGATTAAAAAATTTACGTCACCTCTGCTTAGTTCATACAAATTCTATTTGTATTTCATGTCGCCAAGGTTGCACCCAAATGCGTGTGCCGCTATTTAACACAATACATACATACATATGTGCATATGTGAAATATTGACATAAACGGCGACTGTCGACGAATAGCTAGAGCCAGCCACGATAGGCCACCAATTTTACTGATAAGCGCAGAGCAGTAATCTGTTCACAAAGCTAGCAAGCAACTAGCACGAAAGTGTATCAAAACAAAAGTAGCAATTAAAAACAAATGTTGCTCTCTGTCTGTTAGCTGGCGAGGGCATTTACGCAATCAATTTACTAGAAGAGTATTTGCAAAAATCATCTTTGAGATTATTATTGAGCAAGTTAAAAATAAATGGTTGCGGTCACCAGGAATCAGTTGAAAGGTTGCCAACTTGTATGTACATACATACATACATATGTATGTACATATGTACATATAAACACCGAAATTTAGTGTGCTTGCGGCCTGGAATCTATTGATAAAACGCGTCACCAGACAAACATTGAAAAACGAAACGGTCTAATTCAATTGCCTCACACGAGCCAGAGAATCGCATGAAAAGCAATCATCATATACAGTGGCACACACCAACAACAACAATAAGAAAAAAATTAATGGTAGCTCTTGTCCAGAGGAGGTGGAAGGAAGGCGGTGCAACAGGGATGTTGTTCTATGTGCAAGTGTATGCGTTTTGTCTGTATGTGGGGATTCACACATACACGCACGCACACACATCCAAATATACGTACGTTGAATGGCAAGGCAAGCAAAAAAAAAAACACTCGAAGGCAATGACAGGCTGTTTGGCGGCAGAGTTGGGACAACGACGATTATGACGACGGCGACGATGAGCTGATGAGCAAACGCGTTGTATCTTGTTTGCATGTATGACAATGTGCGTATGCGTATGTGTACATGTTTTTGCATGCACATTTTGGGGTGGGCCGGGCAAGAGTAAGATCTCCTACGTGTACCGTGCAAAATAATGATCTGAAGAAAATTTGCCTTTTTGACATTTTCACTTATGTATGTATGTATGTACATACATATATACAAATACAGAAACACAACCACGAACACCCATACATACTCATATAAACAGAACGTCTACATCACTTTTTTGGCATGTTTCTTTTGCTTTCATTCAACAAAATTATTGCGAATGGCAAGCACAAAACAGAATCGCAAAAATTGCAGCGTATAGCTGGGCAAGAAGCATGGTAAAAGAAAAATGCCGTCTTCGCTCGCACACGCATACACACACACAACCAAGCGGACAAATGCATACACACACACTCTGGTCACTTTTGTGACGCATGCAACTGTTTTTCAACAATTTTGTTTTGATTTGAATCCGCGCCTACAAAACGTCGCACAAGCTGAGTGTGCTAATTAATATTTACGTATACAATATAAATTTTCAATTTAATCAAACACATACAATACGAAAGGAACACAACGGGTACACACCACAAACCACACAGACTAAAAACACACACACAGCCTCGCACTCACGAAATCCACCACTTGTAACAGCGGCAATGGAAAAATTCAACACACTACAAATAAAAGAGCCAGAGGCAAAACTCAACACACGACTAACGTTTTCGTTGTTGCATAAAGTACCAAAAAGAAAACAAAATATCGCATGTTTGCAATGTCGTCAGTGACTTTCAATATAGTTGTTAACAATAAATTGCAATACGTGGGGCAACTTCTCTTAAGTTCCAAACATGACAGCGGAGTACGTGAGAATCAAGTATAGTTACACACACGAAAATACACACGCAAACTCAATCATACAACACACACACTCTCCGACGGTAGAAGCCGCATGAGGGCAACGGTGTAAGCAAAGGCAGGAGGGGTAATATTGAATCTTTACCAAAAAGATTTTCACACTCACATTGTAATAATCTGCTTTTACTGTTTTTCTAGCTTTTGGCTGTGCCGTTTTACATGCGTTTATCATATATACAATTTCCGCCTGCGCATATTTACTATATGTCACATAAAATCGAGAATGTAACTACGAAATAACTTTTATTTAACAATTTTTCGCGGACCCGACGCACCACTGTTGGTCCTACTCTCCGAGTTTGACGCCATGTTTAGAGATGCTATTAGTGGACAATCTAGTGACTTATCGATAGCAATCGCCTATCGATAAGCTAATACAAAGACCACAATCCTAGGTTGGCAGGGCGTCCGGCTCAACTTGTTTTTGTTTATTTAAAAGAAAAACATTAAAATGCAGCCGGCGAGACGGCGGTTCTTCAGCACTGGGGCCAAATATGCGGGTAATACGGAGGAGGACTTGGAACTGGGTATCAAATATTACGGTGAAGAGGTTGTCCGTATGGAACTAGTAAATAGGCAACACAGAGCACAATGTCGTAGCCAGTTGAATCGGATGCTGGTCCTCTTCGGGCTGGCAGCACTATACTTAAGCTTTGCCATTAAGTTTAGTGAACATCCAGTTACCTTCGGGCAGGCGCAAATCCTGTATCCTGTGCTGCTATTCCTGACTATTTTCATGATCATTCTGCATTCGTCATCAAGACTCGTGCAGTCAGAGAAAGTGTTCTATAGTTGGGACCTGGCACTGCAAACCGAAATAGTGCGGACTTTTGGACGAGAATCGTACTGTGTACAGCGTGGCAACCTTCACGATATAGTGATCAACGAAGTAATCGAGGATGTAGGTACAAAGGGCGAACAACAACTTTGATATTTAAGCTATTGTTTATTTACAGCTTGATATAAAGTATATGCTAATACTACGCACTAAGGGAAATCTCTTCCGGGAGCGACCTATAATACCTCTTTTTCACGTAAGAATCAGGGCGACTTCCAATGTAGTTAGCTTTAAATTTGATTATTTGCAGAGTCTTTCGCCCTCCCTTGAGTGTTTGCAACATATCCGCAGCCATTTGCATAAATGTTGGTTAAATGGCAAAACGGACAGATCGGAGCGCGCTTACAGCAAGGAGAAGCCCTCTATGGTGGCATCGTAATATTCAATCAATTTATCCATCTGTTCATAGTCAGGAATTTAATGTTAGAGCAATAAAGCCAAAGATCTCTAATATATATTACCGATAGCATTGACTTGTACTCCTGCGGTTGATAGTTTAGCGATGGCAGTTCAGGAATTTTCAGCTTCACATCATTTCGGTCGAACTCGCTCTGCATCTGGAAGCACGTTTCATAAGATTAGCAATCCCACAGCTCCATTTATTTTCCTTACCAAATTTTTTAGTTCTGCGGTATAAGCCTGTTTTACGAACTTCCGATAATTTTTAATGTAATTTTCTCTGTTGGCAATAAGAGAGTCCTGCACTGGACGCAAATTGAGTACCTGATCCAATGTAAGATCTACAAAACATTTAATTCGTCAATAATCAGGTAAGCTACAACTAAATGTTACCATTCATCGTGGACATCTTTCCTGCACGAACGACGAGGTGTTTGTGGCGTCGCTTGTTTTGAATCTGCACCAGTGTTAGAATGTTCTACTTTTGCCACTTTGCAGCACTGCCACACCAGCTGACGTAATTCTGCAAAAAAAAACAACGCATTTTTGTTTATATGATTCTCACTCGCTTCAATATTTAAATTCTAAATTGTAAACCCTTTGCTGACGCCTTCGTAGTTAAAGTTGCACGCGATGTGAAGTAGTAGCTGGTATAAAACAATCGCAAAAGTATGTTTATTCAAATAGCGTGTTTACTAAGCAATAAGAACATATTTCTTCCTATGTATGTACATATGTATATAAAAATAGAAATACGGGTGTGTCCACAAGCAGGTGGAGGTGGTGAAAGGCAATGACTAGTCGACGAAACTAAATAAATTTTTTTCGCTCAATTCCAGCCCCATTGTTTAACAATTATACCAACCCTTATAATTACGGAAATAGCTTAAAAATGAATCGTTCGGACTCCATACCTATAAGGCGTGATCGCTCCTTTGACAGCGTCCTGAACCGATTGATGCGCATGCGTACTCAAAATCATGAAAGTTTTCGAGCTGCTATGTATAACTTTCTGATCGCTGCAGGCATCGCAGCGTTTGTAGCCGTTTGCTTTATCCTGGGCCCTTTTGTTCGGCCACTACTGTGGGCATTCTTAATGGGTGCCGTGCTGTTTCCCTTTAAGCGCAGGCTCGCCGAGCTGCTGCACAACTGGTTCCAGCGTTTAGAGGAGCGCGACTCGAATGTGTTGGTTTCGATTACCCTAGCACCTCTGGAGGCCACAGAGCATTGTGGCCGTCTGTTGATCAGTTGGCTATGTGAGCATTGGCAGCTGCTGATGGCTGGTCTGGGTGTTGCCGGCTGCATCAAACTGTTGGTGTTGTATGCGCCCAAAGGCTTCCTGCTGGCCATCTGGCATACTGTGACCTTCTCTCATGGCCTCTTCGTGCAGGTCATAGGATACATAAATATTTATGTGGTAAGCTAGAGAATCGAATAACTAAGCCATTGATGACATCACATTACTCCATTTACAGCTTATAACTGTAGTAGTGGCATACCTCACCTCTGTGCATTTCTTATGGAAGCCAGAGAAGAGTGCGCATTTTGTTATTGCTGGCCAATCCATGTGGGTAGCAATAGCTGGTTATTTATGTAGTTTTCTGGGCGCGCTACAAGTACCTGTATTCCTGTTGGTGATGGCCTACGTCGTTGCATCCACTATTTACCATCTACAGACTAGCGAAGACACTGGTTCCTATTTGCACCGCATGCAGAAACTGTTTGACAAAAACGATTTTGAGCGATCGTTGAGTAATTTTAGTTTTAATCGTAAGCTGGGCGGCGAACAAACGCTGCAATCAGACGTTGAGGATATTTCGTTGAGCGACACCATCGACTCAACGGATACGTTCGATGCAAAGGCAACAGATGGCGAAGATGGCCAACAGAGCGAAACTTTCTTTAAGCTTCTCTTTTACGCCTGTGTGGCCACGTTCTTGTATCGTAATATTTGGATGTTTATACTAGCAGCAGTGCCAATTTTTTTGCATTTACTCTATACATTTGGCGAATACACGGGCATTACAACATTTGTGCAAACCAAAGTTACTGATGTGTATATGGGCATTAGGGTGAGTCTATAAACATAGATACTGGTATTATTTGTAGATTTCTAACGTGCGTTTGTTTGCAGGCCTGGGCCATTGAGCATCATTCAGCCGTTCTTCCACTATGTTTGCCGGGCGTTTTGGAGCTAAACTACAAAATCAACTCAATTGTTCGCGATTCACTTAAGTCTTCGGTTGAGACAGTCACATCCATTCTCATGATCATTCTGATGTTGCTCATTATTATCTTTTTGGGCGTATTCTTTTGTGTTAACATATACTCAGAGACCATTGAGGTCGCTTATCTCGGCAAAGATCTAATTAACAAGACCATCACAGATCGTCCTGAACTAATTGATATTTTGCCTGCGAATATACAGGCGTCCATTGATGATGCGCTCGACAATGCGCACCATTATGGTCGCCGTAAGATCGAAACATACATCGATGATTGGCTAGCGGATGCGGACGCAGTTCACGCAGCAAAGCTAAAACAGCAAATCCTTGAAGTTTGGGATAGGCTCATACAATATTGGATTGATTTCAATAAGGCCGGTACATCTTTTGGACCCAGGGTGCCAACAGATGCGCTGAAGAGTACTTTTGGCGAGATTGTCGATAACCCTGGTATGTTTAAAATGCTCATTCCTCCATTTATCCTATTTTCATTTGTCCCACGTAACCCTTTAACCTATGCGTTTTCTTGTTTGGGTGCACGATTTTTTGAGCCTGGGATTACTTTTTTGAGTTGATTGCGCCACATTCGCTTCTGTTCAGCCTAATCTATTCTTTAACATCCGTGAATATGTACAACTAACAAACGCATTACATGTTGCAACTGCTAACCCATGGCCATTTACTTTAACAAAGGACATTTTAAAGAGCTAGTTTTAGTGGCAAAACAGGGCATCATTGGCTGGGCGAAGAGCAACACGCAGACGATTCTAGAGGTTGCCGAATCACTCTGGCATATAATACGCACGAATATATCGGTGATCATGAGTGTTACTGGCGAAATACTCTCCCTGGTGTTGTCCGGTGGACAGGCCTGCATCGAGTTTATATTGGATATGGTAAGTTGTCTTCAGCAAGTTTTCTTAGAACAATACGTAATTTATTATATTCTTTCAGATTGTGTTCTTTACTGCGCTATTCTATTTGCTGTCGAGCAGCCAGGAGAAATATGCGCCAATGCAGATAACCAAATACTTGGGTTACTCCAGTTCTGGCACCAAGATAGCTGATTCCTTGGAGAATTCGATCACTGTTGTGCTTGTCTCAATGTTCAAATGTTCGATATTTACCGGCCTGTTCACTTGGCTGGTTCACACCGTATTTGGTGCACGTATCGTGTTTCTGCCATCAGCAGTGGCGGCTATGCTGGCAGCTGCACCGTTTCTGGGCAGCTACTGGTGTGCTGTACCTGCCTTCTTGGAGCTTTGGTTGGCTCAGGATCGTTTCTACGCCGGAGTGATACTCTTTCTGCTACAATTCTTTGTTCCCTCATCTTTTGAAACGGCTATATATGCGGACCTAAAGGGGTAAGTCATGAACATTCGTTAGCTTAAAAACATCTATCCATTTCATATTTTGGAAAACTGTTATAAGAAGTAGAACAAATTTGTAAGAAAAAAACATCACAAAATGTACACTAAGCTAATAATTTAATTTTAAATTACACAACATTCCAACAGTTTCCTTTAATAAAACTAAATAAACATTAGAGTACATATCATTCACAAAAGTTCATAGTTCGTAAGATAGAATATAATTCTACGAATCATGTACCAAATTTTAATTGATCTTTGTATATAATAGAGGCGGACACCCCTATCTGAATGGTCTGGCTATAGCTGGAGGAATGTACTGGATTGGCTGGCAGGGTGCCATATTTGGACCTCTTATGTTATGTTTCTTTATTGGCATATTTGAGGTGGCCACTTTGGCTATGCGCTCGAACCAAGAGCCTAGGTAAGGTTTAAATAGTTAAAAACATCTTTAATTTTTCGGTGTGCATGCAAGTTTTCAATTTTGTCGATGGTGTGCGGCCAAAGATCTACGTAAGTTTTTCTTTCTACTTGTGTTGAAATTTTTGGATTGAAGCATGGATTTTTATAATATTCACATTCGAAATGCGTTTAATGAACATTTGTGTTGCAGGCGCAGCTCCGATGAAGAGACACGAACGACGTGAGTTACCTGTGTAGCCCGAATGAAGAAGTTAACTACGAATTTTTTTTAATACTCGAACGTAAACGCTAACAAGAGCTTCGCCAAGCAGGCCAAGTGTTTGACAATCATTGATATTGGCCGAAACTAACGCACTAATGCGCACGGTGTTTGATTTTAAATTTTAAAGTTGTGAATGCGATGTTTGTTTTACAAATTCGTTTCTTTCGCTTTGTTTAATTCCATGAATTCTATTGTGCTTACAAACATTTAAATACGTCCATATTGCGCTTTATTTAAATTAGCTTTTAATAACCCCTACCTCGAATTCCCTGTGTATATAGAGATATGCTTTTAAATTGCGGTTAAACCACAAACCGGTTCCAAATGCAAGCCAATAACAATCAATGACTTGGTTGGTCCAAAGTGAAGTACCGAATTTTTTCTCGCTACTAATGGTTAATTATAAACATGTGATTTGTTTAAAGTTTAAATTAAAAATTTGTTGCAAATAAATGTCAATATTTATATACGACTACATATGAGTATGTAAAAATCTTTAGCATTTAGCCGATGGTGCTAAGCATCTCATTTCATTCTCAGCAAACAACTCGAAAGTACAAACAAACTGAACGACAAACCCGATGGAGATAAAGATCCAAGCGAAAGCGCTGAAGCTATTGTTTCCACACCCAAGACCCAAGTCAGCAGCAACAATGAAAATCGTGCGGGAAAACCAGAGCTAAAAATCGTTACAAGAACTTTAAAGCCGCTGGATCTGGATAGCGTTTGAAACCGGTTACTGAATTGGGTGCGATAGTAAATATTTTTATTAACGGTGTGCTAAAACTATTTAAAAAATGTAGAATGCATTTAAATAAAATGTTTTTATAATTTCTTTAGTTGTTGAATTTGTTCTTAAAGGTGAACTCCGGATGTTTCTCGACACTGTAATTCAAAAATATCGAAATTTTAGCATATCTGGCTTATTTTAAATCTTCTGCTAACTTACCCACGAAAGAAGGAAAAGTCACAGATACGTAAGTTTTGGTCTAGCGCACATAGCTTGGCCACCTCCTCGGGACTAAGTTCAAAGTCAAATATGTCAAGATTTTGTTTTAAGCGGTTCGGATTCGTGCTCTTCGGTATTGCCGCCACTCCACAATCGATGATCCAACGCAACAAAACCTGTGCTGGCGTCTTGCCATGTCCCGCAGATATCTGTTTTACCTCTTCAATGTCCAACAGGTCGGGCAACTCACGCACCAAGCCGACAGAAGCATTGAGCTTGGCAATGCCCTTGGAGCCTAGGGGCGAGTATGCCGTGACTGTGACCTTTTCTGCTTTGCAGTAATCTATCAGATCACGTTGTTGCAAATAGACGTGGTGCTCCACTTGGTTGTTGGCCGGACGTATCTTGCAATTGTTCAGGATTCGCTGCACTTGCTCCTTGCTGAAGTTGGACACTCCGATTGATTTGGCCAGCCCTTTTTCAATGAGCTTCTCCATTGCGGCCCAAGTGGCAACATGATTAGTGGTTGGATCAATCTCAATGGTACCGTCTGCCTTGAACTTGAAGCTGCCATCCTCATTGATGCACACGGTAAAGGGAGTATGTATCAGATACAAATCCACGTATTCGAGTTGCAGATCCGCCAGTGATTTCTTTATGGTTGGCTCCACCTCGTGTGGACGGTTGGCTGTCAAATATGTTTAAATATATTTAGCTTTGGATGTGCGGAAGGAGTGAGTATTTACTTGGCGGCGGCAACTTGGTCACAATGAAGAGATCCTCTCGCTTCAGCTTGCCAGCATCCAACCAGCGTTTCAGCACACGTCCAATTGCTTTCTCGTTCTCATAAACCGGGGCGGTGTCGATGTGGCGGTAACCCGCCTCTAGAGCTGCATCGATTGCGGTTTCGATTTCTTCATCGGAAGCCTGTGTTAGGTGGGTGTTTAGTTACCAGGTTACAATTAGCGGTTATAACAAATTGCATCATTTTATCGGATCACTTATAATCATAATTTATGCACATAATTAACAGCCAGAGTGGAGTAAGTAAGAGTAAGTACTAAGTCTGTATGTATGTATATAGAAAGCTTGTCAGCAGTGTTCCCATTCGTACGATAATATTGTTTGTATGGGCTGGTTTCTTTGTTGTGCTCTTTAAGAAACAGTAAAAGTAGAACTCAATGGGTTCGAAGCAGTCAAAGATGTTTATTGTGCACAAAACCGGTCCGGCGTATCAAAACAATGTGCTGACCTCATGCACCCGCCCGTCTGGCCATCGGGAACCCAATGTCGTCGTGTCAGCCTTAAGTACGAAGTACTTTGTGCAAAGTACAATCTTGATATGTTAATTTTTATTTTTTTATTTGTAATCAACTTTTAGTTGATTGCCGCCCCCTACTTATGGTTTATAATAAGTTGAAGCAAAACTAAAGAAACGCTATGTAATTGTCAATAATATAGAATTATCGGAAAGAAAGAATTACCTGCCATGTGCCAATGCCTAGAATGGGCATTTTCAGGCCATTATTAAAAGTTAAAAATTTTGTACAAGCCATAATATATATGTATTTATTTCACAATAACACTAGTTCTAACGAATTATTTCACTTGTTGAGCTTGATGCACTTGAATGTGAATAACGGGAATACCCAACTGTCTTTCTCAACGTCCAGAAACGAACTAAAATCTGTGCACTAACACGAGAGCTAATGACACCTGTGCTCTCAAAATACTTTGGTGGGACCGGCTTTTTCAAATGTGTATGTAACAATACATACATGCACATAGTATCTATAAATACTATATGTATATAAGTATGTATATATGTATGTATGTATATATTTTCATTGAATGTACATATGTAGGTTCTTAATAGTGGGTGTTGTGCTGGAGCGACATGTTCGTGACAGTTGCTCAAAAAAGGAATGTACAATTTTCAATAAATATTCAATTTAATTTTAATGAGTTATGGTGTATTTGTTCAATAATTAACTTAAAAAAGGTTTCTTTATTTGAATTCTTTGCAGTTGTACAACACTAAAGTTCTAACCAAAACACAATGACGCGTTGCGCTCCGCAATATGCTTGAAGCACTACATCTGGCAACGCGGACCGCAACGCTTCATCGCAATTGTTTTTATACATTTTGTAAGTTTTTTTTATTAAAAATCAATATTATAACAATCAATTTCTGCAGTTATTGGTAGTGCTAATTAGCACATCTAAAAATTAAGTGCGGTGTTTTTAATTTGTGGATAATAAATAAAAATAACAAATAGAAGCAACAGGTTGCTAGAGGCACGTGTTTCAAACGTGAGAGAACCGTGCTCTCACGTTTCATGTTCAGTGTGTTGCAAAGCAATTGGCAACAATTGTGCTTTAATTATTAAGAATTTCAATAAATTAAACGGAACAAATGCTGCGCAAAGTGCCTCTTATAGTCATACTCGGGTCTACGGGCACTGGCAAGACGAAACTCTCGCTGGAACTTGCCGAACGCTTTGGTGGCGAAATAATTAGCGCTGATTCCATGCAGGTGTACACCAACTTGGACATAGTCACTGCCAAGGCCACTAAAGAGGAGCAAGGACGTGCGCCGCATCATTTGCTAGACGTTGCCACACCCGCTGCGCCCTACACAGTCACCCACTTTCGCAATGCGGCGCTGCCTATCATCGAGCAACTGCTGGCGAAATCAAATCCGCCGATTATAGTGGGAGGCACTAACTACTACATTGAGTCCTTGCTCTGGGACATATTAGTAAAAACTGATGAGCCTGCGGCGACACCTAGAAAGTTACAGCCAGCAATGTTGCTGGCGGACTCTGTGATGGCCACCATGACCTCGGAGGAGCTGCACAATCATTTGGCTGAAATAGACGCGGGCAGCGCGATGCGCATACATCCGAATAACAGACGCAAGATCCTACGCGCTATTGAAGTGTACCAAAACAGCGGTCAGACATTAAGCACCCATCTTACCGAGCAGCGCTGCCAGCCAGGTGGAAATCGCTTGGGCGGTCCATTGCGTTACCCACACACCATATTGCTGTGGCTGCGTTGTCGACAGGAGGTGCTCAACACGCGGCTGGAAAAGCGTGTAGATGGCATGCTAGAGCAGGGTCTGTTGGGTGAGCTGCGAGAGTTCCACAACAAATATGCGAACGTCACAGGCGAAGGTTACACCAAGGGAGTTCTACAGACTATTGGCTACAAAGAGTTTGTGCCTTATCTATCAAAATATAATGCCGAGCATGATGTCCAATTGGAGGCCTACTTACGCGCCCATAACTTTGTACTGCCTACGGTTGACGAACTGAAAGGCAAGAGCGCGGATGACGTTATACCTGTCGGCCTAGATTTGCTTCACAGTTGCTGTGAACAGCTTAAGCTGGTGACCCGTCGCTACTCAAAAAACCAGCTGAAATGGATCAACAATCGTTTTTTGGCCAGCAAAGATCGCCAAGTACCTGATCTGTATGAGCTGGACACGAGCGATGTCAATGCCTGGACACAGATGGTTTATAAACGCGCCGAGTCTATAATCGTTAGCTACATGGATGATGCGGTGTGTGAAATCGAGCCCCTGCCAAAGCGTACACATCCGGGTGCAGACTTGGATGAAGAGACGAGCAACTTCTGTGCGATATGCAAGCGCCACTTCATTGGCGAGTACCAGTGGAAGATTCATTTGAAGTCTAACAAACATAAACGGTGCAGGGAAGCGCTGCGTCGCAAACAGAAATCCGAGAAGGCGACAATCCATGACGACTCACAGACAGCCAGCTAGGCAGCTGGATTACAGATTTTATATACATACATACATGTGTATAAATAGACCAAAGTGGAAAATAAATGCAACTACGTAAATTTGAGTAGCTTGTTATTGTAATTGCAAATCGCGGCTGTTGTCGGCGGCTCGTCGCTGATAACCCTCACCCAAGGGGATCGCCTTACCAAAGGTAATCGCGCCCATTTTTAGCTAGCCTGCTATCGCTTTCAGTGCCCACAGAGGTTGTTGCCTGGCCAAAGTGAAAACATGTTTGTGCAAAAACTGCAGCCTACGCATACGACTGAACTCGTTTTATTTTTCATTTGCATTTCAGTCGCCGAGTGAAACGCACACGCAGAAATAGCAGCAGAAGCATCAAGATGGCAACTCAGAAAATTGGTAGGCAATCAGCTCAATCGTAACCCAATTGGGCAGTTTTAAAACTGTGCCCCATCCGTTTTCTTTAAAGCACTTTTGAGCGTTTCGGACAAGACGGGTCTGCTTGATCTTGGCAAGAATCTCGCCTCACTGGGCTATGAGCTGGTGGCTAGTGGAGGCACTGCCACCACACTGCGAGGTGTGGGACTTGTTGTCAAAGATGTGTCCGACATTACCGGTGCCCCAGAGATGCTGGGTGGTCGCGTCAAGACGCTGCATCCGGCCGTGCATGCGGGCATCTTGTCTCGCACCACAACAAGTGATTTGGCAGACATGAAGCAACAGCACTACGATCTGATTAGCCTGGTCGTGTGCAATTTGTATCCCTTTGCCAGCACTGTGGCCAAGCCCGATGTGACAATAGCCGATGCGGTGGAGAACATTGATATTGGCGGCGTGACTTTGCTGAGGGCCGCCGCTAAGAATCATCAACGCGTCACTGTCGTCTGTGAGGCCGCCGATTATTCACGTGTGCTGCGGGAGCTTGCTGAGCTGGGCGATACTAAGCTGGAAACGCGGCAGATGCTCGCTTTGAAGGCCTTCACACATACTGCCAGCTACGATGACGCCATCTCGGACTATTTCCGTAAACAATACGGCGCCGGCGTCTCCCAGCTGAATTTGCGTTACGGAATGAATCCTCACCAGAAGCCGGCCCAGCTTTACACACAGCTTGCCCAGCTACCATTGCGCGTTGTCAACGCCTCGCCCGGTTTTATAAATTTATGCGATGCCCTGAACGGTTGGCAACTTGTCCGGGAGCTTAAGCAGGCCCTGAAATTGCCCGCTGCTACGAGTTTCAAGCACGTATCTCCTGCCGGCGCTGCTGTGGGTGTTCCGCTCAGTCCGGAGCAGGCCAAGCTGTGTATGGTTGATGATCTGTATGAGCTGCTGACGCCGCTAGCCACCGCCTATGCGCGTGCACGTGGTGCCGATCGCATGAGCTCCTTTGGTGACTTCGTTGCCCTGTCCGATGTATGCGATGTGGTCACTGCCAGGATCATAGCGCGTGAAGTGTCTGATGGCATTATAGCTGCTGGCTATGAGCCCGAGGCTTTGGAGATTCTTAAGAAGAAGAAGAACGGCAGCTATTGCATCCTGCAGGTGTGTTATCGATCGTGTGATCGATAGACGTCATTAAGTTCTCGCTATAACTGCACACACATTTCAGATGGATCCCAACTATGAGCCAAGTGCTCTGGAGCGGAAGACCATTTTTGGGTTGACACTGGAGCAGAAGCGCAACGATGCTGTGGTAGATGCCAGTCTCTTTAAAAACGTGGTCAGTAAACGAGGTCCATTGCCCGCGGCCGCTGTGCGCGATCTGACCGTGGCCACCATTGCGCTAAAGTACACTCAAAGCAATTCTGTGTGTTATGCCCGTGACGGTCAAGTTATAGGCATTGGCGCCGGTCAACAGTCGCGCATACACTGTACTCGCCTAGCTGGCGAGAAGGCCGACAACTGGTGGCTACGACAGCATCCTCTCGTCGCCGGAATGAAGTTTAAGACGGGTGTGAAGCGCGCGGAGATTTCCAACGCCATTGACAACTTTGTGAATGGCACCGTGGGCAAGGATATGCCATTTGCCCAGTTCGAAAGCATGTGGGTCACTATTTCTTGTATTTATTGAGTGCAGCAATACAGCAATTTGTTTCTTTCAGGTTTGATAAGCCACCTGCCCAGTTAACCGAAGCGCAGAAGCTGGAATGGCTAAATCAACTGAATGGAGTCTCACTTGGCTCGGATGCTTTCTTCCCCTTTAGGGACAATATCGATCGTGCGCGTTTGGTACGTAAAGGCTCTGACTGACACGTCAACTTTAGGTAGCAGTTGATAATTTGTTATCTTTTCTCCCCCTGGCAGAGTGGCGTTTCCTACATAGCCAGTCCCGCAGGCTCAACTAATGATGCGGGTGTCATAGCCGCTTGCGATGAGCATGGCATAATTATGGCGCACACAAATCTGCGTCTGTTCCACCACTGATGACAATTACGTATACGATTCCTATCGAAAGTTTCCAATTCATGAATCGAATTTAATGGTTTATTGTTTATGATATCGTATATCTAGGAGAATTTATTCTCAACTCTCGGCTTAAGCATTGCACATTCCTCATACTGCAAACACGACAATAAAGGTAATAATTAAACGTTGGTCTTTTGACTAAAAGCTATTTATTTAAAGAAATTAGTGCCTAATTAATATACAGTTCGATTTAGCAATTATGAAATGCTGCAGGATACGATTAAGGCTCCAGTTTAATACCGCCGACTGCGCTGCTTGCGGCAAACGCCGCGGCAATTGCACACAAAGACGCAGAAAGTCAGGAAGAAGATAAGCACGGAGGCCAGCACCAAGGCCACCGATGTGGTCTGATCGTAGCTAAATGTGGGATCGAGAACATGTTGCTGCGGCAGCAACTGGAAGTCGACTAGCACTTGGGTGCCGTTGGGCGGCGGGCATGGTTGCTGCACAATAATCTCCTGATGCTGAACCTAATAGGCCCCAACCAAAGAAAACATCAATATGGTATGCCTCTTGCCTCTATGGATTTCCAAGGACTCACCTGCTTGTTGCGACACAGCTGCAGACCCGCCGAGTTCGTCAACGTTTCCGCGCTGAACTCGTCCTGCACCAGAACGGGCAGAAGCCAGCGCTGGGGGGAGGCTAATTGCAGCCAGGACCAGAACCTGGAGAGGTTACGCGGATGCAATAGATAGCCACCCACAGCGGTCAACGCGAAGGTGATAAGCGTATTAAAAATGGTCGCGGAAACCTTGCATGGCAAGAGATGCGCGCAGAAGAGGGCCAGCGTTTGAATGACGGTCAGATAGAGAAGCATGTAGCCTGGAATGAACAAGTTAGGTAAGCTGAAAGGCCAGACTCCTCAAATATCCGAGTCTTACCCATGTAAAGATAAATGCCCGTGTCACTGCTGTTGGAGTAGGTGTACAGTCCAGCCATACTGTGTGCAGGCAACAAATAGGCCAGCCAAATGCATAAGCTCGGGAAGAGCCCAAACAAACTCTGTGGAAACATGAAAATATTATTCCAGTTCTACTACCACCTTGAAAAACCAGTAACTAAATGAGGTCGGGCTTCCCATTGTCTACTGAAATCTATGGAAGACGTTTGAAAACAGGGGCAAGAGTCACACCAACCTGGACAATGATGTAGAGACTTCTTGAGTAGAGGCCTAATCGTATGTCTCGCTCGGCATGGCGTCGATCCTCCTGCGCATCACGAATCGTCAGCATGACGAGAGGCCAATAGACCAGTGCCATGACGCAATGATGATAGCCCAAGCGATCGTTGTAACCCAATTGTGGATCTGATGCGGGAACGTCCCAGAAGATGCAGCCAACACAAAGGGAGAGCACCGCCGCTGCAATCAACTTGCTAATCCAGGTAAGCAATGAGCCAGGTTGTTTGTAGCCAGCGAACCGCTTAATCAACGCCTTTGTCTGCCCAAAGAAGCCGGCTTTTAGTGTGAAATTCGGTAGTGAAGCGGGAGGCGCGGCCAGTGGGGGCTCAGAGTTTATTTGATCCCAGGCGTTTGCGAGGGATTCTATGCGCGCAGAGGACTCTAGCATGGCGGCTGCCGACAAGTCGTCCAGGGTAACCAAGTCAACTGCGAAAAGAAATATGTTATTTAAAGGTAGGCAATCGGAGTTAGGGAGCTACTTACGATAATAGTCCGCAGGATTCTTAAAGGGCGGACATGGATATCCCAATTCGCCCATGTGGCGCGGCAGATCAGCTCTGCTGCCCGAAAAGACGGTGCGACCACCGGAAAGCAACAGTACGCCCGAGCACATGGACAGGATCTCGAAAGTGGGCGGCTGTAGAGTCATGATAACTATGCGTCCGCCACTGCACCACTGGCGCAAATACTCCACAAGGAAGAATGTATCAAAAATGTCCATGTTACTTGTCACCTGGTCGAGTATGAGCACCGAGGACTGCGCAAGTAACTGACAAGCGACGCTAAGGCGTTGCTTCTCCGAATGCGTAAGAGTGGATACATTCGAGGCACGAACCGTGTTCAGACCCAGGTCCTCAATTAGCACATCCATCTAGAGAGATTTAATCGCTATACGAAACATTCAACCTAGATTATGAAAATGCTCACTTACCCGCTCTTTTAAATCGCTGCGATCCAGGGGTCCCCGTAAAGCAGCATGAAAGTTGAGGGTGCACTGCACGCTCATGCGTGGATCCAGCGATGACACATCCAGTGCGGGAACATAGCTACACAGTTCGCGAAGTCCCCGCCTATTAACCTGCTGGCCATTGATTAAAATTTCGCCCCCCATGCGCTCTCGCAATCCTGCCAGACATTCGGCCAGCGCCGTCCCCTCTCGCTGCGACGTCGCCATAATGGCAAACAGATCGCCTGCCTTGGCCTGCAGTGAGACCCCACGCAGACAGGGATTTACATCGAGGCAATGCACTTGTATGTTCGGATAGATGAGCCCAATGTTCGACTGTTTGCGCCCTTGCAGTCCATATTGACTGCTCCCATTTCCATGCGTCTGCTGATGCTGCTGGTGATGATGCCGAGAGCTGCCGTAGATGCGCGACTCACCATAATCCCCGTAGCCTAGCCCATCCCCGCCGGCCCCTAACAAATCTGCTTCGCTGTGCGAGCGATGGCCATAGTGCTTGCCACCGCCACCGTGGCCACCTCCCCCATTCCCCATATACTGATGGTGGGCATTGATGTGCTGGCCCACGGCTATGCTGGCGCGACTGTTGGCCTGCCTAAGCGCTGCTGCTGGCACCCCTTGGGCCCGTGATTCTGGCCGCGAGTGTGGTATGCCGCCAATGGCACGGAAGTCCGACTCGCTGCGGTATTTTCTCAGATTAGGCGGCACGCGACTGCGTGTCGTTTCGTTGTCGCTGCTGTCGTAGCCGGAGGACCCAGCAGCTGGACCTCCACCGACGCCACCAACGCCGCCGGAGCTATCGCGAAAGCCACGATTTACACGGCCACGCACGCCCATGGCACCCGGCCCCGGTCCAGGACGATGGGAACGCTGTGAGCCGGCGTTGGGAGGAAAAACGCGTGGCAGCCCAAACTTTAAATATGTGTACATGTTGGAACCCAGCGGGGATCTGTGAAGGCAGAAAAGGATTAGATTGTGTACCTGATGTTGTTGGGATTAATGTAGGTAGGTATTGAGACTATTGGAGGAAGGAAAAATAACCAATTATTCTTTATCGAAAACCCCTGGGAAGATCAGGCAGAGGTCTCTTTAGAGAAGTTACAGAGATACCGTGAGGTCTTTCATCAAATTAGGTATATGAGAGGTTATCAGGTATAATTTATTAACATTGTTTTAGCTGGGGGTTAATAATTCAGACATTTTTGGATATTAAAGTGTACTTACTTTGGACCATAGCGTGGATGATTCAATATGGATTGCACTGTTGTGTCGCGTAGCTGGAAATTTCCATATGGCAGCGGTGATTTGTCGGATGAGCCCAGCGCTGAGTCGGTGAAGTCAGAGTTCAGATTTTGCCTGTGCGTGAGAAAATTGTGGAAGGGGAAATGCATTGCATTAGCTTGTTGCGGTTAACTAGACATGGGCGTTGCATGGGGCTTTAGCAGGTGTGGTCAAATGGACATCTATTATTGCGGCTAACGTTCAATTAGCATTCATCGCAGTTGTACTTCCGCGTTATTGTTGTTGGCTTTTCTTCTGCGGTTTAATCAACCGTCAAAACTGTTCAAATTTATGCTGCCCCTCCGTTTTCCCTTGCTTTATTTAACAGGTGCAGCCTATATTGCTTCATTGGTCAGCCATGCCTTGATTTGGAAAAATACCCATACCGCATACCATAAATTGGCTTACCTATAAATGGACCAGGCATGCAAATCCTCTGAAGCAGCCGGGGGCAGCGGTGTGTTTGGGCCATGCGGCACTGAGTAGCGACGCTCCTCGCGTGACATTTTCTTATTTGTTGAGAAATTGCTCAGTTCCATGGTCTGCAATGAACACAGGCAGAGATACAATAATAAATAAATATTTTAAATTTTATGCTCAAGAAAATTATGAACATAGATTGCATAAATACAAATCTAGTTTTTACTGTGTTATTTCTTAAAGTACCCATGCTTAACATTTGTCGGTTTTTCCCCTAACATGATATCGATGCATTGATGTTTATAAATAAATCAACGATACATCGATTTTTTTGTTAAAGAACCATCGATGTTTTAACGCTTAAACGATTAACTGATTGAAAATCGGGAATACCCTCAAATCGTAAAGCTCCTTCATTTTGACAGAAGAAGCTTCTTTTTTTCAATCGATGGGCAGCGAAAGCTTTCTGTTCCTACTCAACCGTTTTCACCAGTTACCTTATTAGTTCCCGTAAGTATCAATGTCAGAAGGCATACATATTTTTTACCACTATTGTGAGATTCATAAAATGTACATATTAGCAATTCCAGAAACTTAGGTTGTCACGTTGCTTGGAAATAAATACGGAGAGTGCTTGCGTCAAACAGAAGTCGGCTATTACCTGGAAATGGATTCAGATAAGGAGTGTGACTCAGGCAGTGAATCGTCCGCAGATAATGACAATGATGTTTTTGATTTTAATATCATGTTGAATGCGGCTAATTCGACTGAGCGTCGGTTGAATGCTGAGTTCGAGGTACTAACCACTGATGAAGTCGTTGAGCTTCAGCGTGAGATAATCGACAAAGTTAATGTGCTACTTAAACTGCCGACTTCTATAACACGCATTTTGCTTAACCACTTTAAATGGGATAAGGAGAGACTGACTGAAAAATATTTCGATGGGAGCCAGGAAGAGATCTTCAAAGGCGCACACCTTATAAATCCATTTTCCAAAGAACCTAAAGTCGTGCGTCAGAACACTTCACATGACGGCCCCGAAGAGTGCGAAATTTGCTTTTTATCGTTGCCACCAAACTCTTTGACTGGCTTGGAATGTGGCCATCGTTTCTGCTTAAGTTGCTGGCAAGCGTATTTGACATCAAAAATCATTACGGAGGGTCTTGCACAGACAATATCATGCGCCGCGCTGGGCTGTGATATCTTAGTCAATGACGTGATTGTTACCAAGCTATTGTCTGAGGAAAGCGTTAAGGTCAAATATCAGCGGCTGTTAACCAATAGCTTCGTCGAGTGCAATCAGGTACTTCGTTGGTGTCCGGCCATCGGGTGCACCAACGTTATTAAAGTCAACTACTTCGATTCGAGACAGGTTAAGTGCAAATGCGGCCACGTCTTCTGCTTTGGCTGTGGGGAGAATTGGCACGATCCTGTGGAGTGCCGTTGGCTCAAGAAGTGGATCTTAACAGTTGTGAGTGACTCGGAGACTTTAAACTATATTGCGGCTAATACCAAACAGTGCCCCCAATGCAACGTAACGATCGATAAGGATGGTGGCTGCAATTATATGCTCTGTAGGAATCAGAACTGCAACTATCATTTTTGCTGGCTATGTCTGGACTCGTGGAGGCAGCACGACCATTTCAACTGCTTTAAAGATAATGAGTCCAGGAATGCATGCAATGCCCTGGAAATGAGACGTTCATCTCCAAATAGATATATGCACTACTACAAACGCTACGCCAATCACCTGGAATCCATGAGGCTCGAAAATAAGCTTTACGATACTTTCAATCAGAAAATCGATGAAATGAAGCAGCACTATAGAACCTGGATTGAGTTGCAGTTTTTGAAAACCGCTGTCGATGTACTCTGCCAGTGCCGTCAGACTCTCATGTACACTTATGTATTTGCCTATTACCTGAAAAGGAACAATCATTCCATGTTATTTGAGCTTAACCAAATGGATCTAGAGTCGGCGACAGAAATGCTGTCCGAGTACTTGGAATGCGACATTACTTCCGAGAATTTAGCTGATATTAAGCAGAAAGTGCAAGATAAATATAAATATTGTGAACAGCGTCGCACTGTTTTACTGGATCACGTGCATGAAGGCTATGAGAAGGACTGGTGGGACTACATAAAATAGCGACATACTTGTATGTATCTATTTTGCTAAACCATAGATAAATCAAAACATCTTGTTAAATGAAAATATACCTTCACATGTATAAAAAGCCTATGTGGACATTATTGCTCATCATTGTGGGAATTAGCTTAATAAAGACTTGCTCATGAGATGACTTTTTGTGCATTTGTCGTTTTCGTTTGCATTGTTCTGCTGCAAAAAGTCTAGACAACAAAAGCTGAAGACGAGTTTTCCATTCAAACACCCTTCCCTGGGAAGTGAAAGAGTATAATGGTTTTGGTGTTTAGGTTTGAAACACCCATTAGGAAGCAGCGTCAATCATATGTTAAAGATACTTATATGATTACAATGACGAGACAAATCTAAACCCAAATAGTGATGTCCGCTCTTCCGTTTGTTGGCTACTACAACGAGGTTTTTTTTGGGCGAACACATAAAATTCGAAGCAGAACATATCATCATATTAGAACCTTATATCGTAGATATTTTGAAGAGTTTTTGTATGAAAATCCTATATTTGATGGTTTTAAGTAAACAATGAACATTTTAATATAACGCGTACCGCTCGTATGCTTCACATACAAGTATATCCCATGAGCAAGAAAGATCATAGTGTGAGCTGTTTGGCATAGTAAAGAGTATGTATAATTTAGCTCGCTTTTCAGTTTTCTTGCTATCGCTGTTGTGCCCAGCAAATCGTTTGTAAAGCAACTTAATTAAGCCTAGAGAACAAAGAGCAACCACTGAAGATTTCGACACGGCCTCATGCGTTTTTAATGGCCAATGCGAAAAATACAGAAAAACAAATAAAAAATATAAGAGACATAATGTATTCAAATGTGGAACTGTGGGAGGGGGTCGTCTCATCTTTATGTTTGTGTGTGTGTGTGTGTGTTTGCATTGCCATTATGCAATCAAACAATAAACAAACGGTAGCAGATTTTGAGCTCAAAAGTGCAGCAACTCTCTCCCCCCACCCCATCATCCGAGTCGTCTGGTGCAACGAGGCGTATGCGTTTCCGTTTTGTTAACTGCATTGGCCAAAACCATATCAAGAGGGCCAAGTGTAACAGTAAACAGAGCTTATATAAATACATACATACGAACTACAAACATAGTATGTTTGTGCGCACTCAAGTTCTACTTAGGGCCGGCAAGCTTTTGGCTGCCCTGCGCAAAACGACTTTCATTCAAAAGTGAATGGCAAGTGGATCAGTGTCTGAGCCCACATCATTCGCTGAAATGACGGCGGCCCTAATTTAGCTTACTGCCACTTTTTAAATTGCGCTAAAAAAGATGAATTCTGCCCGACTATGCAATCCTCTTCAAAAATAATCTTTCAAAAAGAAGAATTTCTTGTAGCCCTCAGGAGGAACTTAGAATCTTTAAATATAATAAATGTTTGATGTAATAAAATAAATAAATAATATACAAAAATGCAAGAAAGATCTAAATCCTATAAAACAAAGCGATATATTTGTTTATGAATATATGTACTTACTAGTTGTATATATTCTATGCGGCGATGATGCTTGAGATTGACATACAAATTAAGACTATTTTTTTAGTCATTACTGAATGCTTTTCAGCCTTTCATAGACAACACCATTGGCAAGCCTTTATAAAAAAGATTTATGTGTAAGCTACAATAGTTCAAAAATCTAACCAGATTTAAATAATGTATAATATGAAGAAGACCTTTCTACTAACAACTCTCCAAGCCCGCAAGTGAATACTTTTCGACCCGTCCACTAAGTAGAATTTTTTAAAGAGAACAAATTCTATATGCGTTCCGTAGATATGGCAGTGACATGAAAAATCATGCTGATAGGCGATATTTGAAAGGTGTGTGGCTATAAATATATTGAAGAAAATCTGATGTCAGGTATACATATTATGTACGAGTGGCTAGTAGCATTTGTGCTCCTTGGCTGAAGGGTATCAGCAACTACTTCTATAATTATAGCTGTGGCCGGCCCTTGAGTTGAAAGTGAAGCTGCACCTGCAACCGTTTCGAAGCAGTTGCAACGCCCTCCCGACCATTGAAATGGTTCAAAAAATTTTACGTTTTGATTATCGCATACTTCGAATGCTTTGGATGTTATGCGCGTTATTATTAAACATTTTAATTATGATGCATTCGAACTCAAACAAACTGAGAGAGACTTTTGCCATTAAAGGCACTTTAATTGCGTGTTAAATTCGTTTTAATTAAAATCGTGTGTGTTATATAGTCAGTCGTCTGCTGCCAAACCTCCCCACAACTTCAATTCCACTGTTAACAACAGTTTAGTTTATTTTATATTTTTCCACACTTTTTGTTTGTTTGTTAGTCGATGTTTTTGTTTTTATTGTTAGTGGTGTTGCTGGCATTTTTAGCATGTCTGCGCTGTACTTGGTGCGTTGGGCTGACGGGCTCACTTTGTTCAGTTTATTCAGTTTTTATGCAGTGGCTGCCACCGAAGTGAAAGTGGAAGTTGTGGCAAGAAAGAAAAAGGTTTTAAGGCCCGTCTCGGTGTTAATGTAAAAATAAAGCGCTGCTACAGTTTAAACTATAAGTGTATACTCTTTGTACATACACTTGTACATTAGTATGCACTTAAATACACTCGAAAAATTGTATAGGCCATCCGAAATCAAAAATTACACATCAATTTAAAAAGCATTGCCTTAAATGTGTTTCAAGGAAACTATGACTCTAAATTTAGGACTGACAAGGCCTTAAATTTATTTTACACTTAAATAATATTACCTCAGACTTGGATCTGATTTTAGCCACAAAACTATTATTTTGCTTTTTTAAACGTTAATGTGTATTTGTAATATATGTGTATTAGTTTTTGCTGTTTGATTCACCTGACAATTTATAGTTTTTACTAAACGAGTAATATATTATATAGCCTCATCATAATAAATAGGTGTCTTAGGGCCGATCGATAAAAATATCACTTTTATTAGCATAACTCTGTTTTTAAAGATATCTTAAGGAAATTTGTGAATGATGAAGTTTTATCGAAATATATGCACTATATCATACATTATTTATAGCGCTTTACTACAATCTTAAATATATCCAAATCGGTTGTCTATATGATATAACTGCAATTGAAAATTTCGATACAAAAACAAGTGTTAGTTCTTAACAGTTGTTTGTTCATTAAGCTATCGTAACTAACTTTGGTATTAACATGTGTTTTTATAATCTAACCACTATAACATATAGCTGTCATAGGAACGATTGGTTAAACTATAAAAATCACCCTTTTTAATACCAAACTTTCTATTCATTTCGGTATCGTAACCAAAGAGTTTTTTATAATACAATATCATAATCCCAAATTTGATTAAAATCTGTAATTTTTATCATATAGCTGTCATAGCAATGATTAGAACACCAAAGTTTATTTTAATTGAATGGCTGTAGTTGGGAAAAGTGTGGGTACAGGGAATCCCAGAACAACAGCATTCCCCACTTGGGAATTAAACATCGAATAGACTATTGTAGTACAATGAAGCATTAAGTCCCCAATTGTCTAAATTGTAGATACACACATTTTTTGAGTGTAGGCAGGAAAGCCGCGCGGCTTTTTTAAAGCAGTTTTTTCTATGTAATCGATGATGATGATGATGATGATGATGATGATGATGATGATGATGATGAAGATGACGACGTCACTGAGTTGCTATTGGGGGCATTGATACTCGGCATTGATTTATGCGATCTGCATATGTTGTGTAAGTGCGCAAAAAGCATATAGACTGAAGAGACATCGTGATATACGAATGCTCTCTCTGTTACTAAACAATTAATTTATGCCATGAGCTAGCTCAGTTGGCAATGGAAGGGCCATTAAAACTGAATGAAATTCAACAATAAGGTCTACAATAACTTAATGTTACCTTGCAGATTTCAATGATCATTCATATACTAGTACTCAGGTGCTTAAACAATATATATATTTTTTTTTGTTAACAACATATTACTGGGATATTTAAATTATAGTATTAAAATATAGTCGATCAAATTTTCTTCTTTCCGTAAACTTCATTTTCAACTGAATGCGTTGTTATGGAAAAATTAATTATAGACTGGATTTGGAGTAAAGAAAAATAGTAAGAACTAAGTACGTTAAAAGTTTCATCATAGAAAGTGCGACAAATTATTTCAGACATTTTTAGTTAATTTAATTTCTTTTAAACTTTGGTTCATTTTAAAATTGAATAATATGTTTTATATTATATAATATATGATATTATAAAAAGAAAAACATTTTTCGATAATTTTTATCCAATTTTTTCTTGCCGCGCCTATGAAACTTACACTTTTCTCTGGACATGCTCATTATTATTAAACAAAAACCAATTTTATTTCCAGGTTCATTTCCCGCTGCATTTTGTATTGCATTGTATAATAAATCAAATTGAAGTGGACTTTCCAAACAAACAGAAAAAGCTTATCGACCACATAATGTTTATTGATAAAACTACTCCTAGCTTAGTAAGGCTGTCAAGTTGTTTTTTGTAGAAATTGAATTACGTTATAACTTCAACTTTAAAACTTAGAAAACCTAAAAAGAATCAAAAATTGAAATTATTTTTTTACTAAGTAATTTTATTACTAAGTAAGCTCGACATGAGCATTATTCATCTGTATATATTTCTAATAAATATTAGAATTTACATAATATACCAAATACTTGTAGTTAATTCTAATTTGATTTTTCGCTTTCTTTTAGTGTTGTATTTCTTTCAAAACTTCTTTTTAATTAAGTCTTAGAAATGTGGTTCGTTCATAATACAGATACATATAGTATATACCTACGTGTCTCTTATAATATTTGAAATCATTTGACTTTGTAAGTTTCGTTTCAAGCTTCTGTGTGGTCTAAATAAAGTCATGACCAACAAATCAACGACCACCATTTATTGGCCTTAATAGCTAAGCTGCTGTTTTAGTTGAACTGGACTGGAGAGCATATACTGCTAAGCCACCTTAAATTCTTGACCAGTTGCATATGCCACAATAAGCTGCATAAAAACGAGCTGCAGCTGCAAACACTTCGCTGTGGCAGAGACAGATCGGCTTACTAGTC